GGCAGCTGGAAGTTTGCTGGCAGCTGGAAGTTTGCTGGGGCCCCTTTGGCTATGGCTCTCAACAGGAGGTATTTATCTACCTTGGTTAGATTTATTCTAGGTACTTTGTTTTTGAAGCTATTGTGAATGGAATTGTTTTCCTGATTTCTTTCTCAACAGATTCATTGTTGGTATAAAGGAAAGCTGTTGATTTTTGTGTGTTGATTTGGTAACCTGCTACTTTGCCAAATTTGTTAATTAGCACTAACAGTCTTTGGGTGGAATGTTTGGAATCTAATATGTATAAGATCATGTCACTCAAAGCCAAGTGTGGTGGCACACACCTATAATCCCAGAGCCTCTGGAGGCTGAGTCATGAGGATCAGGAGTTCAAAGCCAGTCTTAGCAACTTAGCAAGGCCCTAAGCAACTCAGTGAGACCTTATCACTAAATAAAATACTAAATTACCTGGGGATGTGTTTCAGTGGTTAAGCACCCCTTGTTTCAACTCCTGGTATGAAAAAAAAAATCGTAATGTCTTCAAACAATGATATTTTGAGTTTGTGCTTTCCTATTTTTCCCCCTGTATTTCTTTCTCTTCCTAATTCCTTTGTCTAGAATTTCTAGCACTGTGTTAAAGAGGAGTGGTGAGAGTGACATCCTTGTCTTATTCCAGATTTTAAAGTTCATGCTTTCAGGTTTTTTTTCCATTTATTATGAGGTTGGCTTTGGGATTTTCATATTTTGTCTTTATGATGCTGAGGTAGGTTCTTTCTATAAGTGTTAGGATATTTTATTGTAAATATTTTATGGATATCCTATTCTACATTCAGTGATTAGCTTATGCAAGAAGTAAGGGAAATAGAAGTAGGATAAAAAGGTCCTTTTTGTTTTTCTTTATAAAAGCTATTTTTTATAGTAAGAGTCTGCAGTGTTTGGTGTGAAACATTGATACATTTAATAGCAGAAATCTGATGGGTGGTGCTGATGTTTGTCATGGTATGGATTGACTTCATATTATATTTAATTTATAAGCCACATTTCCTGTCTCATTTATAAATTCATATCATTTAAAGGGGAGAAAACTAAATGCTATTGTTTGGACAGCAGTAAGTGATGGGATTTAGACTAGAAACTCAATTCAATTTTCTTTGTAGTATGTCATGATATCATCCTTATGTAAGATAATCTTAGCATAAAGCCTCTGATGTTTCTCAAGTTTTGATATAGGGAGGATTTCTTGTTTATCTGTCTCATACCTCCGAAGTCCCCTTTCTAAAGCAAAGTCCTAATAGTATATTAGTGAAGTTTTAGATTCTGACTTTTGTCTCCTAAGGCAGTGCTTACCTATTTTGGTTTTCCCTATTCCCTGATATAAGTTTCTGTTAATGTGTCTAAAAAGACCTGTACTGTTTCCTTGACTCTTTATTAGGAAATGTGTGTCTATGTCAATATAGTCTAACAGAAACTTAACATAAGCCACATATATCATTAATTTTTCTAGCAACCATGATAAAAAATAAAAAGGAAAGTAATAATGTATTTTATTTAACCTAATGCATTTAAAATATTATCATTAATTTATAATTAATATATAAATTATTAATGAAATATTTTATATTCTTATTTCATGCTAAATCTTTGAAATCTAGCATGTATGTTACACTTACAAATCATCTCCATTTATTCTATCCACATTTCATATGCTTAATAATCACATGTGATAGCAGCTACAGTATCAGACAGTATAAGTCTGATCTCTAAAATCACAATTTTAAGGCCATGTTATAGCCATTGGTTTCATAGATCAGTGTGAAATTCTTCCTTAAATACCTTAATTTGGATTCTGTTTAAAGAACCTCTTCCCATGGGCTGACTCATGCTTCATCTCTTTTCACTGAATTTTACTGCATAAATTGTAGAATTGACTATTTTTAATTCTTTTAACAACTCTGCCAGGCACTGGATTAGGTATTAGAGATTACAACTAGGCATTAGGAAGGAATAAATGGTAAAATTTAAAGTCCTGTCCTGCAACAGTTTACAGCCTATTAAGAGAGAAAATATTTTAATCAAATAACTGCTAAGAATGAAAAACGAAAGATATACCATTATAAGTTTCTAATAGCATGACCACATATGATCTGAGAGATTCTGAGAAAGTTGCTAAGGAAATGAAGTCTAAGTTAAGGATTGAAACATAAGTAGGGATTTCCTAGGTCACAGCTTAAGTGTCATTTCCTTGTTTGGCTTTCCCTCATCATATAATCTAAGATAGTTTCCTAGTCTTTTTCTTATCATTCCTTGTTTATCTTCATTATTGTTTATCAAAAATCAATATTTTCCTTTTAAAGTTTCTTTATTTGTGGTCATAGTAACATATTTGGTTATTTACATATATAAGGAAATTGGGAAGTCCTTCCAGGAATTCAAACAGCTTGTGTGAAGATCCTAAGGTGGAAAGGAAACCAATTTGGATAGAGCACAGGGAGCAGAATGTCTCACCAGATAAGACTGGAGAATTGGATAGAGGTCAGACCATTCAAGATCTTGTAGATCTATTCTAAGACTAGTAGGAAACCATTCAAGGGTTTAAAACAACAACAACAAAATAGAATGTGAGTTTTGCTTTTTAAGAAATGCATTGTGGGGCTGGGGATGTGGCTCATGTGGTAGCGCGCTCGCCTGGCATGCTTGCGGCCCGGGTTCGATCCTCAGCACCACATACAAACAAAGATGTTGTGTCCGCCGAAAACTAAAAAATAAATATTAAATATTCTCTCTCTCTCTCTCTCTCTCTCTCTCTCTCTCTCTCTAAGAAAGAAAAAAAGAAATGCATTGTAATTCTGGCTACAGTAGAGAGAATAGATTGGAATGGGGTAAGAATGACAGCAGATAGACTGGAAATCTAGGGTAGCAACCAGGATGAGTCATGACAATCTAGATTTCTATATTGGTGGTGGAAATAGAAATGTTTTAATAAATGTAGATATGTCAAATGATAAATCTGAAGATAGTATTATTTTTTTAAACTGGGGTTTGAAAACAGGTGTGCATTACCACTAAACTGTAATGTCCAGCACTTTTTATTCATTTTTATTTTGCTAAATAATCTTGATGAATTGCTTAGGGCCTTACTAAATTGCTGAGGCTGGCCTTGAACTTGTGATCTTCCTGCCTCACCTTGCCCTGGTTGCTGTGGTTACAGGCAAGACATTATTGATTTTTTTTTTTGTATTTTTTAGTTATAGTTGACAAAATACCTTTATTTTATTTATTTTATTTTTATGTGGTGCTGAGGATCGAACCCCAGGGCCTCACATGTGCTAGGCAGGTGCACTATCGCTGAGCCACAACCCCAGCCTCGACATTATTGATTTTGATTAGATTTTATTCACCACAATCCTTTGACTGAATCCTTTGGTGGGATGTGCCTACCAAAGAAAATCCTACTTATGACTTTTCCCCAGTGTACATACCCTGCCATAGTTATGTCATCATCATGTGAATGTATCAAAGTAATTTTATGATTTACTGAAAAGGAAATTTAGAAAATATTTACTGTATCAAATAGACTATTGAACAAAGGATTTTATTGTAGAAAGGATTTTTCAATAGTGATTGGAAGAGTTTTGGCAAATTTTGAGTTCCAACGGTGTTTGTGGTAAGGGAATTTTACCTATGCATATTAACACTGCATTTGATCCAGGCTGCAGTGATTTTTAATAAGGTGTAATTTTTCTATAATTATAACATAGTAGAATTATTTTTAATTTGATAATTTGGGGATAAAATGTACTTATGAGGCTCACAGTATATGATCATTTCTAGAAGCTTCTGATGTATTATGTGTTGGCATATCACCATGTGAAATGCAGCTTTGGGATGTTCTCTATGCTTTAAGTCTGGGGGTGGGGTCTATTGTTCATTTTATGTGCTCTTACCAGGAGTTAAGTCTAATGAAATGACAATGATCTAATTCAACCGTTGGCAAACTTTTCCTTTATGAGGCCAGATTATAAATATTTTAGACTTTGTACATTCCATCTCTGTTGCATATTGTTTGCTGTTTTGTTTATTGCTTTTGGGTTTTATATAACCTTTTAAAACCATAAACATTTTTAGCTTATAGGCTGTTTGTATAAACATGTCTAGAATCCATTACTTTTCTCTGGATCTAAGGTCTCTATATACTGCTATACTTTGATTAGCTTACAGAGAAGCATGTAATACTTAGCATTGGTTTTCAAATTCAGTTTTCTTAGCAGAAAATCTATTTTTCAGATAATGTCTTAAATGGAATCCCAGGTTAAAAGTAGATACAGAACAAAGTCACTAAGCTTTGTCCTTTGAATGTATCATGGGGCCTCCCAAAATGCAGTTTGAATATCAGTCATAGAAAATACTGGATGAAGAACAATGAAGGTTTGTCTGTTATCATTGTGGCAGAATTAGATGTTAATGAAAGATTTTGTTTGCCACTTTTTTATCACTTTTAAATAATACATTTGCAGATATCCAAATTTCCCTTCAAAGACCTGTTTAATGAGCTTGAAATACTTTCCTGTGTCTTCTGTGTGTGTTGCATTCTTTATAAAATCAGCAGTTATACATTTAAGGAAGTCAAATTGAACTATATTATTCATGTAGTAGCCACATAGTAAATGGTATGTATTAAATTGTAATGCATGAATTCATCTGAACCTGATTGATAGTATTCCCAAGATGTTTTGATCAAATAAATCTGATACTTGGTGTTGCTTTTAAATTTTAATATTGATTTTTATCACAGGGTCATGATGATGAAGTATTTGTTTTAGAAGCACATCCATTTGATCCAAGGATCATTCTTTCAGCGGGTCATGATGGAAACATATTTATTTGGGACCTTGACCGGGGGACAAAAATTCGGAATTACTTTAACATGGTAAGAGAAATATGTGTTTAGTTTATATTAAAAATAACTGTTTTTATGGGATAACTTGATGAGTATACTTAGTTCAAAGGAACCTCCTGTTATCTCTGTTAAAATTGCTAAAATAATTCAGAAAATAATTCAAAAGCCTTATAATAAGGCCAGTGGAGAATTAAGCCTAAGTGATTCATTTATCTTGGTATTAGCATTTTCCAAATTCTGGTTCCCACCTCTAAACTCCTTAATCTCAAATTTGTTAACTTTTCAGTTAATTCTTAACCAAGATCACAAAAATGTTATTTAATCTATAATCCTAATTTATGAATTATAAAAGTGACAGTAATAATTTGAATTTGTCTCTGATAACTCTCATATGGCTTAGTAGTTGAAAAATAGATTTGCAAATAGGGATGCTCTTAAGATATATTTTATATGAATCATAGAAAACACTACCATATTTTCCATATTTAGTGTCCTTTTCTTTTTTAACTTTTTAAGTTGTATATGGACACAATATATTTTATTTATTTTTATGTGGTGCTTAGGATCAAACCTAAGGCCTCACACGTGCTAGGCAAACACTTTACCACTGAGCCACAACCCTTGTCCCTAGTGTCCTTTTCTTCATAACAGTTCTGACAACATTTCTTTCCTTTTTTTTTTTTTTGATTCTACTTAGTTGTATATGACAGTTGAGTGCATTTGGACACAGCATACATAAATGGAGTATAACTTCTCATTCTTCTTGTATATGATGTAGAATCACACCAGTTGTGTATCATACACATAGGGTAGTAATGTTCAATTTATTTTATTATCCTTTATAGCCCCATACCCTCTCCCCTCCCGTCACTCCCCTCTGTCTAATCCAAAGTGTATCTATTCTTCCCTAGCCACCCCCCTCTTATTTTAATTAGCCTCCACATATCAGAGAAAACATTCAGCCTTTGGTTTTTTGGAATTGACTTATTTCACTTAGCATGATATTGTTCATCTCCATCCATTTATCAGTAAATGCCATAATTTCATTGTTTTTTTTTATTTTAAAATATTTATTTATTTATTTATTTATTTTTCGGCGGGCACAACATCTTTGTATGTGGTGCTGAGGATCGAACCCGGGCCACACGCATGCCAGGCGAGCGCGCTACTGCTTGAGCCACATCCCCAGCCCAATTTCATTCTTCTTTAAAGCTCAGTAATATTCCATTGTGTATATATACCACATTTTTTTTATCCATTCATCTGTTGAAGGGTACCTGGGTTGGTTCCATAGCTTACCTATTGAAGGGCATTTAGGTTGCTTCTGCAGTTTAGCTATTGTGAGTTGAACTGCTATGAACATTGAGGCGGCTGCATTACTGTAGTATGCTGATTTTAAGTCCCTTGGGTATAAACCAAGAAGTAATTTAACTGGGTCAAGTGGTTGTTCTATTCCAAGTTTCTGAGGAATCTCCCTACTGCTTTCCAGAGTGGTTGTACCAGTTTGCATCCCACCAGCAATATATGAGTGTACATTTTGCCCTACATTCTCACCAACATTTATTGTTGCTTATATTCTTAATAATTGCTATTCTGACTGGAACAAGATGAAATATTAGAGTAATTTTGATTTGCATTTCTCTAATTGCTAGAGATGTTGAACATTTTTATATATTTGTTGATCAATTGTATTTCTTCTATGAAGTGACTGTTCAGTTCCTTAGCATATTTATTGATTTTTTCCCCCTTTGTTCATACTTTCCATAGTTAGTGTACTTTTCTTATGAACAGTTCTGACAACATTTGTAAACTATTTGTTGGCCTTTGAGCCCACTTGAAAGACATTATAAAGATCTAGAGCACTTACCTTGTCTTGTGTTATTAAAATTAATTTGTGTGATTTAATTTTAGGATGGTTAATTTAAGGCTTAATTGCATTTCTCTTAAGATATGAAAATAGTATCTGAACTTTTCTGTAATAGCAAACCTGTGACAATTTGGTTACATTTAAATATTTTTAAAATCTCCTTGGTCACCCAATAGATTTTCACAGGGTGTGCCATTACTAGCGATGATTGATTCCATTCATTGCAATTTTACTGTCCCTACTTTCTTTCGGATCATTATTTCTTTAGGTTTCTGGCTACAGAAGCCAGAGAGTACATTGGGATATTAATGCTTCACAGCATCCAATGTATTAGCAAAGAGATGTTATCTCCTACTTATTATTTTAGAACAAGTCATAAGATTACTTAAAACGACTCCTCTGAATTCCAGATTGAAGGCCAAGGACATGGTGCAGTGTTTGATTGTAAATTTTCACCAGATGGAAACCATTTTGCGTGTACAGATTCTCATGGGCATTTGTTGCTTTTTGGTTTTGGTTGCAGTAAATACTATGAAAAGGTCAGTACTTTTTTGGGTAGACTATAATTTGGGATTATATCATTCAGAAGTTTTGTTTGACTCCTAAATTAATAAGGGTTAATAGATACAAAGTAAGAATATTGTATCTCTTGGTAAATGTTTTTGTCATTGCTGAACATCAGGCTTGACAGTGTGTGTGAGTCACTATCGAAGTGCAGGGTGATGTAGATGTAGACATTCATTAGGAAAACCTTTGGTTTAGAATATATTTTGTGTTACTGTTCAGGTGTAATAAGAATAACTGAAACAGACTGCTATATCATCTGCTTATCATGAATGGAAATAAATAGTTGGTGACTGAAAGTTTACTTTCCTGATTGTTATTCTACCTATTATTGATCTTGTGAAAATACTTAGGAAGCTAGCTTAATAGTTCTTTATATTTTATTAGCTGTGAATTTGGAATAGATTATGGAATCTTAGAGCTGAAAGAGAACTCAGAAACACTGATGTCAGCTCAATATTTGTATCAGCTTTCAGTGTCAATAATGTGATATATATTTACTTGTCTTACCATATGTGTTATACTTCTGGTCTATATTCATTTGAATAAAAATAGAGTTTTATATGATTTTTATGACTTAAAATAACTCTTTACATGGTTGTTGCTTTAGTTTTCTTATCATAATTAGAGAAATATGATATAGGGCAAAAAAGTAATGCATATCTAGAATTTGTAGAGAAGAGAATAGGTAATGTGCTTCAGATGGAACATTTGGCAACACAGGACTACAAGAGAATACAAAAGTTGTCTGACTCAGAAATGTGTATGCTCTAGAAATGAAAATAAGTGCCAAATCTATATGTTCCCTATGTATATTAAATACTAAAACTTCTGTCATAAGATTCCAGATCAGATGTTCTTCCACACGGATTATCGACCTCTTATCCGTGATGCCAATAACTATGTGTTAGATGAACAAACACAACAAGCTCCTCACTTAATGCCTCCCCCATTCTTGGTGGATGTTGATGGAAATCCTCATCCCACAAAATTTCAACGGCTAGTGCCGGGACGGGAAAATTGTAAAGATGAACAACTTATACCACAACTGGGATATGTGGCCAATGGTACGTTATCATGATAATTAAATTGGAAATATTTTGCAAATGTCATACTTGATTCTGTTCTCTCTGTGGCATTTGTCCCTCACTAAATACTGAAATAAGTTATGGTATGTTTTGCCTTCTACTTCTGTTCATTTTCATTTGTATAATACCTTTTACCTTACCAGAGTACTTTTACATAGAAACAAAAGTGTATACTCAAGCACAGAGTGTTGATCTAGTTCCATAGATACCCTACATATGATCATCTTCTATGTAATATTGCTTCTAGTAATGATTAAATGGACTAATTTTAATGTATATAATTGGTGAAATTTCTCTGTTCATTGTATTGGTGTTTTAGTTTAAAAGGCTCTAGTTAATTGGACCTAAGAAGAGGAAACTTCAAAAACCACATACTAGGGCTGGGGCTCTAGCTTAGTGGCAGAGTGCTTACCTAGCATGTGTGAGGCCCTGGGTTTGATCATTAGAACTACATGAAAATAAACAAATAAAATAAAGATATTCTGTCTATCTACCACTATAAAAACTTTAAAAATTACAAAGTAGATATTTACCCATCCTCATACTTAAAATGCAAAAAGTTACTGGACATTGGGGAATGGGTTGTGATTGTTTAAATAAGACTAATCTTGGAAGATATTGGGGAATCAGCAATAAATTTGATGGACTGTGGGAAGATAATAGAATAAAATATTAGAATAAGCTATTCTGTGCCAAATAATCTTTGCCTCTTCAGATTGGCATATTTCCATTCTGTATATTGCCCTTCCCACATAGAATGTCTTCATATCTCAGTTTGGTACTTGTAGGTTTTCTTTAGGTATGGAGTAGTAGTGAGTTTATTAAATTGCAACTGGAATTCAATTTCTTGACTAGGAGATTAAGGCTTGAATTGATCTTTATAGAGTAAAGTTCCATACATCCTTTTATGCCTGTCTCATAAAGGTTTGTAAAGCAGTGAACTGGTATGACAACTATGCCAATAGTTACTCTGAAGATGTCATAATTATTAACTGAGGAGAAAAACTGAATATTAAATGTTGTATAAAACTGAAAACATCTGAATAAAAAATAATTTATCACTCTTTATTCCTTATAAGACCTGATCTCTTGATTACTCTATCAGATACCTCTTGATATGACTATAAGAAAAGATAAAAATAGGGATATCTAAGGCAGAAAAACATTTAAAATTTTCATTTAAGGTAAACAACGAGTTTCAATATTTCATAATAAAAATTGTTTGTTCATAAGAACAATGGGATGTTAGCAAATGATATATTCATTTGGAAAACTATAATTATGTCTTTCAGAAAGCAATTTTCACCAAAAAAGATGTAAATATTTTAAACCTATTTAAACCTTACTTAAATCTTTAATTTCTGATTTTTACCTTAGAATATTCTTTGGATGAAATTTATTTTAAAATCAATTGTTTTAACTTTTATATTCTTTGAGATGCTCCTCATAATTATGTCTAAGTTAGGAACATTGACTAAATCAAAGAGAAGCTGACACATAAAAATTAAAAGATTTATAAAATAATTTGTTTAATGCATACTCTATTTTCATTTTAAGCCAATTTTCAGTTATTGCTCTGAAAATTTAGAAGTTAAGTTTGTTTTTACTGGTTTTAGGGTATACTAAAATGTAATCAATTTTGTGGCTTTTTATGTTTGGTCTCATTAAGGTGATGGCGAAGTGGTGGAACAGGTAATTGGACAGCAAACCAATGATCAGGATGAGAGCATTCTTGATGGTATTATCCGGGAACTACAGAGAGAACAAGATCTGAGACTAATTAATGAAGGAGATGTTCCACATTTTCCACTTAATAGATCATACTCTGTTAATGGTGGTAAGTGTTTGTATATTTCTGAAAAGTATAATGAATATACTTTATTCTACTTAAACAAAAATTATATGTGAGAAAAGATTTTATTTATAAATGAAAACATTTATTAATTTACAGTTGTGATGTCAGATACTCCATGGGGTTTTAATCTCATTATTATTTTTTTGTGACAAAAATGACTTTGTATCTCCTAAAAACACAGATGTCATATTTTTATATGCTGTTTTCTTCTAATTGAATTTATTTGCAATCTTTACTTTTTTATAGAAGTGAAATCTTGAATAAGTCCAATTCTTTTGTAGGGGAACCACAAAAAACATAAGTTTTTAAGCTTAAAACCACCTTAAGTTTACAAAACACTACCCCCGTAAATTGATCCTTCTTTGCTGAGAGAAGAACAGCATACCATGTCTCCCCCCTTGAATTTACAAAAGTATGCTGGAAAACAAGAAGCCCTCTGAATTGACTTTCACAATACATTTATCTTAATATCAGTAAAAGTTTTGTTATAAGTAATCACTGTATTTTAAAAATGGATATTCTAACTTATATTTTTTCACTTGAAATGAAAAGTGACTGTGCATTTCAGTTATATATAAATCTTAGCTTTATCAATTGCTTTATGAGAATTTGGCACATATCTTTGTATTTTCATAATTGAGGTAGTTTATTTGGATAGAATGGCATTTGGGTTTGCCCATAATTGAATAAAGATATGTAAATTCAAGGTGATTCATAGGATATTTTACTTAATTATTTCTTCAATCTCCATAAAATTAAATTAAAATTGGTTCTTCATTTTGGGCCATTTGGAGCACCTAATGACAAGGTAAGAAGCTTTATGGAACCTTGAACTTGTAAATAGTAATCTGATATCTCCAAGTCCTTTGTTTTTAAGACATAAAACTTTCCTAGGGCTTTCCCTGATTTAGACATCCATTTATTAAATCAACCTTCAGCTCTAAATTCTATACTAGGTTTCTGTGGATAGATTTGAAAATTTAATAGTGTCCCATTTGTCCAAGGGACCCTATTGGCTATTATTTACAGTGTTTATTTGTTTTGACTTTTTGTTTTAATGATAGCAGTTGAATATTTCAGTTTTTACTTGTGTTTTAGTTGCAAGTATTAGAAAAATAGCAAGAACCTATCTAGAGTACCCTAAAGAAAATTAAAAGTTCTGTTACTTTTTTTCTGGTACTGGTTATTGAACCCTGGGGCATTTTACCACTGAACTACATCCTCAGCCCTTTTTATTTATTTTTAGATAGGCTCTCACTAAGTTGTCCAGACTGGCCTCAAACTTGTGATCTTCCTGCCTCATCCCCCAAAGTAGCTGGAATTATAGTCACATTTCATTGTGTCTAGCTGCTCATCAGTCTTGGAAAATTAAAATTTAATGTTAAAAACTTTGGGTTATACTTTTATTTTATTTTATTTTTTTGGTACCAGGAATTAAACACAGGAGCACTTAATCACTGAGCCACATCCCCAGCCCTTTTTTTTATTCTATTTAGAGACAGGGTCTCACCAAGTTGCTTAGGGCCTCCATATGTTGCTGATACTGGCTTTGAATGCGATCCTCCTGTCTCCACCTCTGAGTCACTGGGATTACAGGCATGCACCACCACACCTGGCTTGGTTTATATTCTTTATTATACTATTTCTGAAAGCTTTATTGAAACTTTACTCTGAAATATTTTAATGGACTAAATGAAGGGTTTAGAATAACAAGATGCTTCCTGAAACAGTACTAATAAACATTTGCAAATCTCCCAAATCATATTTGAATCCATTTTTGTATTTAGTGAGAATTGAGTAAATGGTAAGAACTATAGAAGATTTAAAAATTTATTGAGCTCCTTTATTGATGACATTAACAAGAAAAGATGGTACAGAATGTAGAACAAAGAGGTAGGAATACTTCAGATAGTCCTATCTTTGAATCTCCTATTTTGTGTAAGAACCCTCATCTAAAAGATTGGTGCTATTGCTCAGAAAATTATATTTTTCTTCATTTGTGTTTCAGCTCTACGAAATCCAAATATGGACATATCCTCTTCCCCAAATATAGGACTTCGACGTAGTGGTCAAATTGAAGGTGTTCGACAGATGCATAACAATGCTCCTCGGAGCCAGATGGCCACAGAACGAGATCTCATGGCATGGAGCAGAAGAGTGGTGGTCAATGAACTAAATAATGGGGTTAGTAGGTGAGTCACTAAGGTAACATTTCTAATAAAATATAGAGCTCTATAGTAATGGGGTTGTAGCTCAGTGGTAGAGTGCTTGCCTAGCAAGTGTGAGGCACTAGGTTTGATCCTCAGCACCACTTTAAAATACAAACAAACAAATAAATAAATAAATAAAACAAAGGTATTGTGTCCATCTACAACTAAAAACAAATAAAAGAAACATTCACCTTTAAAAGAAAGAAAATTTAGAGCTCAAGTTTTTAATAATATTTATTTAGTTGTAGATGAACACACAGTATCTTTATGTATTTTTATGTGGGGCTGAGGATTGAACCTAGTGCCTCACACATGCGAGGCAAGTACTTTATCACTGAGCAACAGCCTGAGCCCCAGAGCACAATTTTTTAGGAAGTAAAGTTTTCCTAGTAACTTTGACAATTTTTAATCTAGTTGAGATATTTTTCAAAATAACTCCAATTATTTTACTCCATATCAAATAGTCAGTTATTGTCAATTTGTTCAGCATATGCTAAATGCTTTGGGGCATATAAAAATGCAAAGAATGATTTCTTTTTCCAAGTTTGTTTTTATTACTGCATTTAAATTATGCATAATAGTGGGATTTGTTGTTATATATTCATACATGTACTCAATAAAAAAACATAATTAGGTTAATTTTGTTCCATATTACTTCCCTTTCCTCTCCTCTTCCCTCCCCTGGTGTATGATTTATTTTCTTTGACTTTATAATCTAGATTAGGATAGGAATGCAAAGGTTATTAAGTAATAACTTATAAGAAGTTATATGTGATTAAACATATGAATTGTATATAGATCCTGTGTTCAATAGTGGCTCCAGGAGAGAGCCATCAGCTTAATATAGGAGCAGTTTTCGGGTAAAATGTAGATATCTGGTAGACCCTAGTAATTAGAGTATGTTTAGAAATGTCACTTAAATAGACTTTATTTGATGAAAAATATTTCACTAGGATGAATTTCAAACCTAGAATCTTTATTCCTTTTTGTTTTAAATAATATTTTTATTGGTGCATTATAATTGTACATGTTGGTGGTATTCGTTGTTATGTATTCAAACATGTACACAATACAACAATAAAATTTGGCCAATATCAATCTCTAGTATTTCCCCTTTTCCTTTTCTTCTTTGGTTGGTCCCTTTCCTCTTCTTTACTGGTCTCACTTTAATTTTCATGAGAATCCCGCTTTTTTGCCTTTTCCTTCCCTAGCTTTCACATATGACAGAAAGCGTATGACCTTTGACTCTGAGGTTGGCTTATTTTGCTTAACATAATGTTCTCAAGTTCCAATTCATTTTCCTGCAAATGACATAACTTCATTTTTCTTTATGGGTCAATGAAGCTCTATTCTGTAGAGTTTTCTTTATCTATTCATCCATTCACAGAAAACTAGACTAGTTCCATAGTATTATGTATGTATTAATATAGTATGAAGACTTTAACTCTTTAGAGTAAATCCTGAAGACTGGACTAACTTGGTCATGTGGTGGTTCCATGCCTACTCATTTGAGGAACCTCTATACTATGTAACATAGTAGGTGTACTAATTTACAATTCCACCAATAGTATAGAAATGTTCCTTTTTCTCTACATCTTATCCCTATTTTATTATTATTTGTATTCTTTTACAAATGATTTTAGTTGTAGATGGACATAATACCTTCATTTTATTTACTTATTTTTATGTGGTGCTGAGGGTCAAACCCAGTGCCTCTCACATGCTAGGTAAGTGTTCTACCACTGAGCTACAATCCCAATCCTTACTGTTTGTATTTTAAATAGCTGTCATTCCAACTAGGGTAAGATGAAATCTCAGTGTAGTTATGATTTGTATTTTTGTAATTGCTAACAATGTGAATGCTGGACTCAGTGGTAGTGCACTTGCCTGGCACCCGTGAGACACTGGGTTTGATCCTCAGCACCACATATAAATAAAGGTATTGTGTTCATCTGCAACTAAAATAAATATTTTTTAAAAGATTTGAATGTTTTTTTCATATATTTGTTGGCCATTTGTATTTTTTTTTCTTTTGAGAAGTGTCTGTTTAGTTCATTTGCCCATCTATTAAGTGTTATGCATTTTTTTAGTGTTCAATTTTTTGAGTTCTTTATATTAATTCTCTGTCAGAAGAGTAGCTAGCAAATATTTCTCTCCCATTCTGTAGGTTCTCTTTTCACATTCTTAATGGCTTCCTTTGTTGCTTTTTAATTTGATGCCATCCTATTTAATATTTTTTGACATTAATTCCTGAGTTTTAGGAATCCTATTAACAAAATCATTGCCTGCACCTATTTTTTTTTTTTTTTGGAGTGTTGATTCTTCATTTTCTCCAAGCAGTTTCATAGTCCCTGGTCTAATTCCTAGGTCTTTAATTTTGAGTTGACTTTTTGCAGGATAAGGCATAAGGATCTAGTCATATTCTTCTTCATATGAATAAACCAGTTTTCCCAGCATCATTTGTTTAAAAGGCTATATTTTCTCCCAACACATTTTTGTTACCAGTATGAGTTTCTCTCTCTGTCTTCTATTCTGTTTCGCTAGTCTATGTGTTTGTTTTTATGCCAGTACCATGTAATTTTTGCTACTATAGCTCTAGTATAATTTGAAGTCATGTGATGACTCCAGCATTGCTTTTTTGGCTTAGAATAACTTTGGCTATTCTGAATCTTTTATTCTTCCTAATGAATTTTAAAATTCCTATTCTTATTTATAAATCCTAATAATTTGCTATAATATCAACTTCAGATAATTCCCAGCAATTGGAAGTGGATTTTGGAAAGAGAAAAGGACATTGACAAAGACCATGTAAAATTTATTTTAATCATGTATCCTCTTTACCTAGCCTTTTAATAGATTGACTAAGTAGCAAAAGTCATTAGATTTCAACTTATCTATATATAGATAAGCTGCCTTCTGGTATAAGCTGGGAGCATTAATAAGAAAAAGTAGATATAGCTAACTTAGGAACTTAGGAATATGAGTGCTAAAAACTCTGGCAGTAGAGCAATTTGAAATAATTTTTACTCAAAACTTTAGAAGTAGAGCTGAAAACAGGGAATCAAATAGTATTTGTACATGAATGCTCATTGCAGTATTATTTACAGCAATCAAATTGTGGAAACAATGCAAGTGTCTGTCAGCAGATAAATGGGTAATCAAATGTGGTATATCACCATGCATGGTGGTACACGACTGTAATCCCAGTGGCTGGTGAGACTTAGGTAGGAGGATCATGAGGTCAAAGAGAGCCTCCACAACTTAACAAGGCCCCATCTCTAAATAACAAATCTAAAGTGTCTGGGGATGTGGCTCAGTGGTTAAGCACCTCTGGGTTCAATTCCTGGTACCAAAAAAAAAAAAAAAACCAGTGGCATATCTATTCAATGGAAAATTATTCAGCCATAACAAAAGATACCTGCTGTTAAAAGACATTGAAAACACTGAAAATGTTAAGTGAAAGAAGCTGGACAAACAAGAGGACAATTAATGTATGATTCCACTTAAAATATTTATACTAAAATTACTTATAGGCATAAAAATGGATTAGAGGTTATCCAAGGCTGGAAGAATTGAAATGGGAAGTTATTGCTTTGATAGTTGCAGACTTTATGTTTGTAGTGATGACAATTTTTTTAAATGATACTGGTAATGGTTACAGAACATTATGAATGTAATTAATTGTCACTGAAGTAATAACACCTATAAGCATTAAAATGGCAAATTTTATACTTAAATGTATGTTTATTCTCTTTTTACTTATTTTGTAATTTTTTTCTGTTCTTTTTTGTTTGGATGGCTTTTAAACTGTTGGTTTCCTTATTTATGATTTTCTGATATTTTGACCTTTGATTTGTAATTAGGGTTCAAGAAGAATGTCGGACCGCAAAAGGTGACATAGAAATTGGTCTTTATACAGTTGAAAAGAAGAAAAAGCCATCTTATACTATCCAGAGGGTAAGTTTATTTGTACAGTACTTTGAGATATATTATTTGCAACATTTATGTATTCAAAGACTGTCTTATAGGGAATCTATCTTATGATCCCCAGTTGAGATGTATGTTTATTCTTAATAAAATTAGTTACACCGTCCACCCCAAGTCTAGGACATGTAGTTATTGTATGTATAGGATATTTATTTTAAAATACATTTTTCCTTAGTTAAATTAGATTTTTTAAAATGCTGCCTTATCCCTAATCACAATGTAAATAAATGTTTATATACCCTAAGTAATGGGTTGGTCCATAGGCCAAATCCTTTTTGCCTCCTATTACTGTTAATTAAATTTTATTGGAACACACCCACACTTATTCATATCTTACCAACGGTTGTTTTCATGCAATAAAGACAAAGCTGAGTAGTGGCAACAGAATTTGTATGCCCTGCAAAACCAAACTACTTATATTCTGACCCTTTATTTACAAAACAATAGTTTGCTCTCCCTTGCCCTAGACCTATTGCTGGACTTCTCATTTGGAAGGACTGTAAATGTTTTCACAGTAGAATCTGGTAAGCCATGAGTAGGATGCCTGTACCCAATTAGGTACATGGTAAGCTCATTACTAGTACTCTCAGTTTACCAGACAAGAGGCATAAGAATGAAGTTTCTTTTTTTCACTCTCTTCCAATTCTAACCATAAAATAAGAGTATGGTAATTAAGAGTCTGGGATGATTATAATTTTGTTAATAGTCTACTCTATTAAGTATTTTTTCAGTATTGATAAACACAAATTTAGATATTTGTCATATACATATTTCCAAATAATCTTAGGTGATTTTGATGCCTTATTTAAATTTTTCTATTTTGGTTTTGTTGGCTTATTTGATCTTCTATAGTATGATTAATTTTTAGAGATTTTGAATAACTCAGATTCATTATTTTTATTCATTTTTTACTGCTGAGGCAAATTGTCAAATATCATTCTTATCTGCGAGTAACAGATGGGGTGTTCAGTCCTTATGCATTTTTGTATATAATGTAAATGACAGATGTTTTATAAATAAGAAACTAACTCTTGAGGCTGATTTGTAAGACTTTTAAACTTATTTATTCTTAATGACATATTAGGGGTTATAGCTGTGCCATGTAAAAATTTAATCTTTATTTTGACCTATTTACCAAAGGGATATACTACCAACAATTATTATTACCACCAGTGAATTATCCATAATTACTCAATTTCTTCTCTTAGTCCACAAATGGGACTAAGCAATGTGATATAAGAGTTTAAATGTGGCATGCATTTTGAGGTATATGTCTGCGTGTGCCTTGATGTGGTCTAAAAATGGAATTATATATTACTTTTTATATATACATTATATTCACCCTTCTATTGGTTTAGTTAATATAAGGTTTATATATATATTTTAAGTAACTCTCCTATCATTTTTCTCTGATGGGGTAAGAATTGGGCTAAACTGATTATAAAGATATTTCTTAACGGTTTTAAGTACACTAAACTAGAATGAACAAAAATATAGATCATTACATCTAATTAGATATTTCAAATTTGCCTAGATTTTTAATGGAATGAAAAATGTACATATTAACATAAATATAATATAGATAACTTGTTTATCCTGTAATTGTGAATAATGTAGCATATGCAAAAGGTGAATGAGCAAATTTTTACAACACAGACTTTTAGCAGCTTTGATTTGATCACAACATTTTCAAAATAAGAAGGTGATCAATATCAGTGGAAAATGAGTCATATATTTGTGTGTATCTAATTATTATTATAGTTTTATATTGGTTTTTCTCTTCAGCAAATTTTCCTCATCCCTGATTCCTTCCCTGCCTAATTAATTGACTTATTTATTTTCAGGGTTTTTTTTTTTTTTGTATTGATGGAGCTTTTCATTTTTTTTTTCTATTTTTAAAACATTTTATATAACTCATAGAACAGTGCTTGTTTAAAAATTCACACAAAATTGCTAGAGAGCATACAATTTCCAGAAATGTCCTGGGTTTTTGTTTCATTCAGTTTTCTAAAGATGCACTCAATTCAGTGGTAATATTCAGACATTATGTGATATTTCATTATCTTTGGTAAAACTATTCTCATTATTTTGTCTCCTTATAGTATTAACTCTGATATCCACTTTGTGCAGGGTCTGCTCTCACTAGGATGTCAGAAAACATTAAGGCTGGATCTACTAGAGGCAAATGTTCCCAATAGCAGGGACACCCCTGGCCCCCAACCCCACTTCAGAATCCTCACCACAGCCAGGCAGAGCTTTTCATTTTTAAAAATGTGTTTTCCTTTTCTTCTACAGAATGATTACCCACCTAGCTGTGGGCGGTCTTTACGAAGGACACAACGCAAGCGTCAGCATACTTATCAAACACGGTCCAACATAGAGCATAATTCACAAGCATCATGTCAAAATTCAGGTGTACAGGAAGATTCAGATAGCTCCTCAGAGGTTAGATATCTTCTGTTATTTATTCAATATGATGTTTTGTTTGCTAGTATGTGCCGTCAATTTGGATTTACTTTTGAGGGTCACTTTAATAGAAAAATTTTAGGAATTTTGTTATAAGAAGTTTACTCATTAATAAGAAGCTTAATGGACAAAGCTAGGCATCATATTAAATTATTTTAGATGTCTTCTCTGATTTGTACCTAGGATACTATCTTGGTTAGAGTATAACAAATGCAAGCAAAAGTTTGACTTTGGGACAATGAGGAAAGACAGTAAGAGAAAAATCTTCCTATAATTGGAAAGATATGGGATATGAACAGTAGTAATAAGAGTTTCAGAACTTATGGACTGTGAAATCAACATAATGTACACATTTTCTGTTACTACCTGTTCTTCTGTTCTCCAGTCCTTTTATTCCCTTAACCACACTAGTCATGCACAATAGGAATTTAATTGTGCATCGACAGAATATGATACTTCCATTCTCCTGCCATTCACAATTCTTAAACTAGATATTTTCAAAAAATCTTTCCCCCATGAATTTCTTAATCTTAAAAGAATGACAAATTACAGTATATTTAAAACAATATTTTAACATATAAAAGGATTATACTGTATTTGGGCTTAAGGTGTTTTTCAGTCTTTGAAGTAATATAAGTTGTTTTATGTCAATAAAATGGTATAATCCAGAAATATATAAATACCTGGGAAGCTTACTTGTGAGATGTAGATATATAGAGAAAACTAATTCTGTTTTAGCTAGAATACTTTTGGGGTAAATAAAAAAGTGTTATAGAATAGGTAGTAGTTTGCCAAGGAATGTTATGCTACCTAATAATAACCATATATCTTAATTATTGACTCTTTATTGTAGGAAGATGAAACTGTTGGCACAAGTGATGCTTCTGTAGAGGATCCTGTTATTGAATGGCAAAGTGAAAGTTCTTCCAGGTTATTTTTTAATGATTTTTGACTTAGGCAAAATTATTCAGCAGTTTTTAATATGAAAATATGTTCTTATAGGAATTTGTTAAAACAAGAGTTAAAATAATGTTTCACAAATATTTTTGGTTGTAGATGGACACAATACCTTTATTTTATTTATTTTTATGTGGTGCTGAGGATCAAACCTAATGCCTTACACTGAGCTATCCCCCCAGCCCCAAAATATTATATAAAGAAAGAATACCAAATTAGAAGTCAATAGACTTGCGGTTTTTATCTTGTCTCTTCCTTTATTTTATGTCCTTTTGGGCTTTTTAATTTCTTTATTTGTAAAATGAAGTCCCTTTTTAATTCTAGATTCTACATCTTGGTGAATATATATATATATATATATATATATATATATATATATATATTTCATATTAAAAAATAAATGACAGCAGAATGCATTACAATTACAATTCTTATTACATATATACAGCACAATTTTTCATATCTCTGGTTGATTCTAAAGTATATTCATACCATTTTGTGTCATCATACATGTACTTTGGATAATGATGTCCATCACATTCCACCAACCTTGCTAATCCCCTGCCTCCTCCCTTTCCCTCCCACCCCTCTGCCCTATCTAGAATTCATCTATTCCTCCCATGCTCCCGCTCCCTACACCACTATGAGTCAGCCTTCTTATATCATAGTGGTGTAGGGAGTTATGCTAAGTATAATTTCACTTAGCATTATCTTCTCCAATGCCATCCATTTACCTGAAAATGTCATGATTTTATTCTCTTATAATGCTGAGTAAAATTCCATTGTGTGTATATGCCACATTTTTTAATCCATTCATCCACTGAAGGGTATCTAGGTTGGCTCCACAGTTTAGCTATTGTGAATTGTGCTACTATAACCATTGATGTGGTTGTGATGCTGTTTTTAAGTCTTGGGTATGAAACCAAGAGAGGGATAGCTGGGTCAAATGGTGGTTCCATTCCCAGATTTCCAAAGAATCTCCATACTGCTTTCCATGTTGGCTGCACCAATTTGCAGTCCCACCAGCAATGTATGAGTGTACCTTTTCCCCCCACATCCTCGCCAACACTTATTTTTATTTGTCTTCATAATAGCTGCCATTCTGACTGGGTGAGATGATATCTTAGAGTAGTTTTTGATTTGCATTTCTCTAGTTTCTAGTAATGATGAACATTTTTTCATATATTTGTTGATTGATTGTATATCCTCTTCTGAGAAGTGTCTGTTCAGGTCCTTGGTCCATTTATTGATTGGGTTATTTGGGATTTTTTTTTTTTTTTTTGGTGCTTAGCTTTTTGAGTTCTTTATATACCTTAGAGAACCCTATTTGATTATTCCTAGAAATAATGTAGATCTTTCTTTTAAATAAGATATTGTAGTTTAGATAGGGATTTGAAATCCTGTTATAGAAAACTAAGTGTTATGCTTTACCCAAGAAGCATTTCATTAAAATCACATTGATAATGATCAGAATTTTATATTGACACTTTTTTTTTTCTGTGCAGCCATGTCATTTATAATTCTATTTGATAATGTAGTGGTCACTATTCAAATATTAGGTAAAATTATTACTTTTCTATACTAAGGTATTCATACTTTTGGTTTATTTACAGTGATTCATCAAGTGAATATTCTGATTGGACCGCTGATGCTGGAATAAATTTGCAACCTCCAAAAAGACAAACCAGACAGGCCACACGGAAAATATGCAGCAGCTCTGAGGAGGAGAATTTGAAATCACTAGAAGAAAGGCAAAAGAAACCTAAACAGACTAGAAAGAAGGTTTGTAACTATATGGGTTGTTTTGGTTTTGCTTTTATTGTAGTGGTTTGTTTTTTCCTTAGATACTTGAATATTTAACAGTCACATTTAACTTATCTTAAAATAACATTATAGCTGAGAAAACAAGTAAATAAAAGTAATTTATATGGATTTCAAAATGTAAATAATTTTGACATTTATTTATTTATTATTATTTTTATTTGTTAATTTTGCATTACAATTCTTAATACACCATTATACAATAATTTATCATATCTCTGATTATATATAAGGTATGTTGACACCAAATTCACATCTTCATAACATGTATTTTGTATAATGATCAGAGTCTTCTTTCACCATCCATGCTATTCCTCTTCTCCCTCCCTTTCCCTTCCACCCCTATTCCCTATCTAGAGGTAATCTTCCTCCCTTGCTCTCCCTCCCAACCCCATTTTGAGTCACTCCCTTTCATTTTGACATTTTTGTGTTATCAAAGATAGAGGCTGAGTCTTCATCATTATAATATTGATCATTATATGTTAAAATATAACAAAGTTATATTTATCCCAATAATGGTTTCTTTTTTTTCCACTATAATTTCATTTAGATGACATAAAGAATTAATTCACATAGTTCTTTGAATTTAAAAAAAATTATATACACATTATATGTCCTGTTTCATTAGTAGACATAATTTTTTGATTATCACCTTCTATTTGTGAAAGTTATTTCTTACTATTGTTTTAATTCAGGTTGTACTCCACAAATATGAAGAATAAAATTTCTAGTTTTTAGATGTTATATAGTTTTATTATCTGTTCATTTCACCTATTATTATTATAATTGCTAAAGAAAAGTCTTTAAAATGTGTGTGTTCCAGGGTTTCTTTGAACCTGATGTTTTAACATTCTCTCCCTGCTATGTTTCATATTGTTATTAATTTGTTTAAGCATTTATAAATTATATGTTTTATATATATATGTGCTATAAATGTATTTATATTTTAGAAAGGAGGACTGGTTTCTATGGCAGGTGAACCCAATGAAGAATGGTTTGCCCCACAGTGGATCTTGGATACTATACCACGACGTTCCCCATTTGTTCCACAGATGGGAGATGAGGTATATTTTTTTTGATACATGGAAATATTGCTGTGTTATTTTGAACTCCTAGACTGAGGCAGTCTTCCTACCCTAGTCTCCCAGGAACTAGAATTACAGGTGTGTACCACCTTGCACAGCAAGATGGGTTGGTTGTTCCTTGTTAAATTTTTTTCTCTCAGACCCTCAAGAGCACTAAATTTTTAATGAGTCTTAGAATATGTATATTATTAATTTTATTTTGGATAAAATATTTACATTGTGAATTATATGTATATAGATAGATAGATAAATATAGATGTAAATATGTATAGATACATACATACCTACACACATTGTCTTAGATGCTGTATTCAATCATATATTTCTTGAGATTAGTGACTGAATCTTCATATCTTTGTATTCTTTGTAGGGCCTGGCATAGTGTCTTGAAAATAGTAGAAGCTCATTGAACACAGAGATAACTTGATTTGCTTGTGAATTCATGAAAATAATTGGCTTGATTTTTATCTTAATTACCACTTAGTAGAATTTAATGCTATTTTGCTACTTTGAGTTAATGCTCAAATGATGCCATTTTGAGTTCTCTTTGATGGGGAATAGTACAGATTTTTCAAAACTCTAATGATGTTTTTTCTGCAAACAGTAAGGTAGTTGTAGAATATATACTGGAATTTATGGAGTTGTTAAATAGGATGGTTTAATGCCTTATGCTTTCTCTTTTAGCTTATTTATTTTAGGCAAGGGCATGAAGCTTATGTGCGTGCTGTAAGGAAGTCAAAAATATATAGTGTTAATTTACAGAAACAGCCATGGAATAAAATGGATCTCAGGGTAAGTTTTTCAAATTCATAAACTATGCAGTTGATAATTTGTTACTTTACCCATAAGGTTTTTCTCAGTATAATTCATATTTCACTGTTCATGTATCAAATATAAATTGATACATGACACTCTTATAAAACTGGCTCTGATGGGTCATATGTTGTATGTTTCCCAAAATTTTTATGACATTTTCTTCATTATTTGACCTAATTTCCTTCAAGATTTAGATCCTGTATTCTGTTCCATTCCGTACATAGAACAAAGTAAGAGTACCCTACTGTGGATATTTTCTCCATCAACAATTTTGTACATTCTGCATACTTAACAAAGTGACAGAGTATGTTGACTATGGACACTGTCAACATTCTGGAAGCTTTGGGATATATTAAATATCATAAATCACAAGAAGCTTAGAAATATGGGGTGCTTTATGGAATATCTTTTGATGTAATACCCACATAGCTATGTGACATTGAATAAATGAGATATATCTATTTATATTGAAGGATTTTCTGTCACTAAATATCTGTTCAGTCATTTATTTATATACACATATATACATACATATAGACATAGGTGTACTTGGGCCATTATTTCTGTTTAGGCTTATGTATTTTGTTCTATTTTGCTTTTCTGATTTGGAGAACAAGAGAATAAAGGGTAATTTTACTATGGTCTTCCATGTTACTAAAGGATTGTTATGTCATGTTGCTTAGCAGGAAGGAACCTAGAGAGAATCTGTATATTTACTGAAGTAAAAACTTAGTTAAGAGATTTGTAAAAAAGTTGTATTAACGTTCTAAGTTGATAAAAAATCAGGTGAGGTTTATTTAGTCAACTCTTGGGAGATAGGGATAGCTACCATCTATTTTAAATTGGGTAAAAATTGAATTGAGAATTAAGGCAATGACTAAAACATAAAATTTCTTATTTCTAATTCTAACTCCAAGGTCCTAGAAAGTTAAAGGAGGTAGCATGTGTGGCATAAGAGCCTGAAGTTTTAAGCAAGTGTCTATACTCCTGAGAACCAGTTTGCCATCTCTTTAGTGTAACTGATAATATATAGTGTTCTTGTAGTGTAATATTGTAGGCATTCAAAAAAGTCATCTTCTCAAATATAAACATGTCATCTATGAACCTGTATGTTTACATACTTTATTCCTGCTAGGGTTGTAATTTTATGTATACAGAGCTGGATCATCCCATGGAGTGTCTTTTTAGAATATATTACTGGTCTGTAACTCAGACCTATAGGATCAGATTCTATAAGAGTAGGGTTTAGGAACATGAATTTTAAAATGTTTTCCTAGAGGATTCTGCTGCTTTTACTTAGTGTAATGTCCTTTCCTAAACTATCGTTAACCTGCTATTAAGTATTAAGTGTCAAGAGCCATATCTTAACTACTTTTAACATTAGTCTTTGTAATACCTAACATATGGTGAGTATTCAGATAATTCTTAAATTATTCAAGTAGTAATGAAATATTGTGTGAATGTTAGGTAATTATTTGTATTGAAAATAATAATTCATTTATATTTTCATGAATAGGAGCAAGAGTTTGTTAAGATTGTAGGAATCAAATATGAGGTTGGACCACCTACACTATGCTGCTTGAAGCTTGCATTTCTTGACCCCATTTCAGGAAAAATGACTGGAGAGTCTTTTTCCATTAAGTAAGTAGCTATCTCTAGCTCTCTGAGTTTATATGTGTGTATTTTTTAAATTGATTTTATTCTTTTAAATACATGACAGCAGAATGCATTACAATTCTTATTACACATATAGAGCACAATTTTTCATATCTTTGTATATAAAGTATGTTCACACCATCTCATGTCTTTATACATGTACTTTAGTTTTTTTTGCATTATAATTTTTATTACACATATATACCACAAGTTTTCATATCTCTGTTTGTATATAAAGTAGGTTGATACTCAATTTGTGTCTTCATACATGTACTCTGGATAATTATGTCCATCACATTCCACCATCCTTGCTAATCCCCTGCCTCCTTCCTTTTCCTCCCTCCCCTCTTCTCTATCTAGAATTCATCTATTCCTTCCATGTTCCCCCTCCCTACCCCAATACCCATTGTATATTGTGCAGAGTACAGGACTTAATAAGAGAGGAAGTACTGTAGCACTACTACCACAGGGCTTAGAGTTATAAACACTAGTGTTTAATTTTTGATTGATTTCTCTTTTTTTAGAATTTTTAAAATATTTTTTAGTTTTCGGTGGACACAACATCTTTATTTTACTTTTATGTGGTGCTGAGGATCGAACCCAGTACCCCGCGCATGCCAGGCGAGCGCGTTACCGCTTGAGCCACATCCCCAACCCTTCTTGATTGATTTCTGAATTTTCTCTCTCTCTCTCTCTCTCTCTCTCTTTCTCTCTCTCTCTCTCTCTCCTCTCTCACACACACACACACACACACACACACACACACACATATAAATGGTTAGATAGGTGGATTCATGAACAGGTTAATCAATCTTGTGTAAAATGAAAATGCTAATATATTAATATTTTCTTCAGGATTGTTGTGAGGAATCAAAGACTAACTTTTATAAGTGCCTATTGTTGAAACAGGGTAGTTGCTTTTCTTTCTCTTAATAATAGTAGAAATAGTCAATGGCTCATTTCTTGAAGTCAAATTTCAGATCTAAGGAGATGAGAAAACTTCAATTCACACTGTTCTTTTTAAAATTTTTAATATGAAGAATTTTGTATTAAAATTTAAAAACCTTTATTAGTGCCTTTACATTATTAAAGCAATACAAGTTTATGCAAAGCAATCCTAAAAAGATTAAGCCAGATGGGATTTAATTTAAGTAAACATATGTCCAAGGATTATGATGTTTGCAAAATTGTTCTTGATGAGTTCCAATTACACATATATCCTTGGACATTTAGTAAGTAATAATTATAGTGTATATATATAGTGTATATATAGTGTATATATATAGTGTATATAGTATATATATAGTGTATATATATATATATATATATATATATATATATATATATATAGTGTATATATATAGTGTATATATTGATTGATTCCCATTGCTTATTTTCTATACAGGTATCATGACATGCCAGATGTCATTGATTTTCTTGTGCTACATCAGTTTTATAATGAAGCCAAAGAAAGGAACTGGCAGATTGGTGAGTATAGAACTGCTGCTAATAACTAAGCTTAAAGTAGAATAAGTAAAGTTTTAACTCTAAGTTAATAGAAAGAATGTAGTTTAATGTTTAGTTGAAGAAAGCTGTCAGCCAAACTAGGAAAATTCAGTTCAAATTTCTTTTCCAGATTAAGTGATTTTATGCATATTGTGTAGTATGTATAGTAGTCCCCGCCCCCCTTATATGTTGTTTCACTTTCTGTACTTTCATTTGCCTATGGTGGTAAAATAGAAAATAGAAAATCCAAAAATTAAAAAATTTCATAAGTTTAAATTGCATACTGTTTTGGATTATGTGATAAAAAATCATGCACCATCATATTCCATCCCTCTGAGGATGTGAATCATCCCTTTGTCCAGTATCATCCCTTTGTCCAGTATATCTATGTTATACTATATATCTGGTAGTTATTTAGCTATGTGTTCTGAACTCTCTGTATCATGGTGCTTGTTGTGATCAGGTAATCCTTACATAGTAAACTAAGACTAATTTCATCTTACCATGTAAACAGACATTTTATCATCTCACATCATCATAAGATGGGTGAGTATAATAAGATTTTGCAAGAGAAAAACGCATTCACATAATTTTTGTTACTATATATTATTATTATTATTCTCTTATTGCTACTGTCTTACTGAGCTTAATTTATAAAATAAACTCTATTCGGTATGTATGTATGGGGAAAAAAATCAAATACAGCTGGCTATCTGAATTCATTGTTTCTGCGTGTGTGAATTCAATCAACCGTGGATCAACAATATTTTTTTAAAAATGCATCTGTACTGAACATGTACATTTTTATCATTATTCACCAAACAATATAGTATAATAGCAGTTTATATAAAATTTACATTTTATTAGGAATGGTAAGTAATCTAAAAATCTAAAATATATGGAAGGATTCTGTAGATTATATTCAAATACTATACTGTTCTTAAGAATCTGCATTTATGAATATCTGTTAAAGAACTGTTGAGCCAATGCCTCACCAACGTCAGTGTACCACTATGTTGGGTTTGGTGATCTCTGCAATTTCGGGCATCCATTGGGGGTCCTAGAGAATATCCCTTGTGAATCGGTGGGGACTACTTTAGTCTCTAAACCTTGGGCAAATACCTACTCTATTAATAATACAAATCTGAATTAAAGAAAATTCTGAACTGTCAATTCCCCTTGGGAGTATTTTTATACATGGACTTTTAAAAACACCATTGTTTATTGAGGTTTCCTTTTTTTCCTCCCTTCCTCCTCTTTCTCCCTCCCTCTTACCATTGTTTCTTTCCTTTAGTCCTAACTCTTCTGCCCTCTCTTTTTCTTTTCTTTTCTCTGATGAAAAGAAGCATATAATACTAGTATGAGGGAATTTTTTAAAGAAATTAGTTTATAGCTCTGTCATTATTAATACAGAACATAAGGCCTTTAATACTATTGGCATTTTTCACACATTTCCATATTTTGCCTATATTTTTAATATATTTTTGTTCTGGCTCTGTCACTTACTAGCTCATTGATCTTGGGCAAGTTTTCAAACCCTCTATGGCTTACTCCCTTTATTTTTAAAAGTGAAATTATATCAGTGCACACCTATAATGTTGATGTAATCAAGGAAGAGATGTAATTTATAGAAAGCACTTACACAGTGGTTCCTGATACAAACTAAAAACCATGTGAATATGTGCTTATTAGTGTTTTTACATTCTTCAGTGTATAAGGAATATTTTTTCCATAGAGGTTTGGTTTTTTAATCCTTAGCTATTTAAAGGCAGAATACTAGTATAGGTTGAGCACCCGTATCTGAAAATTCAAAATGCTCCAAAATAAAAAACTTTCCTTTGTCCATTTTTTTTAATTCACAACAAATCTTTGGTTATAATTTGACATTTGTTTTATATCCAAATTTATCACTCCATCCATTAGTAATTTTTATCTTGTTTACAGTAGCCTGTTTTTCAGCATTCTCTTATTTCTTTTATTCTTTTTAGATATACATACAATACAGTAGAATGTATTTTGACCTTTTAATACATGGTTTATAACTTATTCTAGTTAGGATCCCATTTTTGTAGTGGAACATGATGTGGAGTTAATACTGGTCATTTACTCATATGAACATAGGAAAGTTATCTCCCATTCATTCTACTGTCTGTTCTATTCCCATCTTCCCTCCCTTCCCTTCATTCTCCTTTGTCTAATTCAGTGAACTTCTATCTCCACCCTTATAGAGAACCAAAATTGAAAACTTTCTAAGATGAATAGAGCATTTCATATTTTAGGTTTTTGGATTAGTGATGTTCAACCAGTAACATCTTTGCAAATATTATATAATACGAAAAACTCAAATTGGAAACACTTCTAGATGCAAACATTTGGATACGATATAGTTAGCCTAGATGAAGAGATTTTTAAAGGCAAAAAACTAAAAACAAAAAAAGAAGAAACAGCTGTAGCCTTAGCACTGAAAAAAAAGGTAAAGAAACTACATTAACATACATTCCATACACTAAGGGTTATCCATAATGATATTCATTAAAGTTAAATTATGTTTGTAGTATTTTCTATGAAGACATAAACATGTATGATGTACTTGAGAAAAATTCTACCACTTGGAAATTAAAATACTTGAAGAGGATAAAATGTAAAATTCACTTATTTGGAAAACTCATCTTGAAAAATCTGGTAATACCAGATATAGTGCTAATTACGTGTTCAAGAAAAAATAGCAATTTACACTGGGTACAAAGCTGATATTTTTCAAGAGCACTCTTTTGTAAATTTTAATCCTTATAGGTGATAGATTCCGCAGTATAATAGATGACGCCTGGTGGTTTGGGACTGTAGAGAGTCAGCAACCTTTTCAACCAGAGTATCCTGATAGTTCTTTCCAGTGTTACAGTGTTCAGTAAGTATAGTTATATTTTTTTTGCCTGATATAATACTGTCGTATAATATGGACTTTAAATAAACACTTCCATTAATAATAAATTTTTATCTGAATTACTACTCTTATAATAACTATAAGGAAGTAAGCATAGTACCTACTGGAAAGAATTTGATGGTAAACTATTTGTGCCACTGTGCACACTAAAACTAGGCAAATACTAAAAGCATTTCTACCTCCCTTGTTGTTTATCTTTTCTCTTAAGTATTTCTTCTTTTTATATTTTTGTGGTAATGGGGATTGAACCCATGAACACTCTACCACTGACCTACATCTGTATCCCTTTTGACTTTCCCCCATGGCCTTTAATTTTTCATGCAGGGTCTTACTAAGTTTCTGAGGCTGGATTCCAATCTGAAATCCTCCTGCCTCAAACTTCCAAGTTGCCAGGAGTATAAACATATACCACTATACATGGCATAAGTCTTTCTTCTTTAAAGAAGAATTGAAATTATTTTCCCATAGAGAATAGTGAAATTAAATCAATGTTTAAAGTAATTGTTATATCTGTAGTATAGCAGTGAATATTACTACTTAGTCTGTTATTTAATGACATGAATTCTAGGTAGAGCTGACAGCATTATATTTTGAGATACTGTTTGTTTGCAATATTAGTTTAATTGTTCTGGAAATCCCAGAGTTGTAAGGTTCCTAATGAATGAAGCTTCTCAAAAATGATGGAAAAAATGTTCATTTTGTGAGGATTGCCTTTAAAGCCACTATATTACAGATAAAAAGAGAAGATTAAAATTTTGAAAGTGCTAAAATACTTAAGATATTGGGATAAATTAAGAAGTGATCCAATAAGACATCATAGTGCCCAACTATAATCTAAGCTACATTGGAGGCTGAGGCAGGAAAATTTTCAAGGTTGAGGCCAGCCTGAACAACCTAGTGGGACCTTTTATCAAAATAAAATAGAAATGGCTGGGGAAGTAGTTCAGTGCTAGAATACTTACCTAGCATGTATGAGGCCCCAGGTTCAGACCCTTGTACTGAAGGGAAAAAGAGAGATTGAAAGAAATGGAGTGAAAGAAGTGATCCATTACACCAACTGTTTTCACCTGAAAGATATTTGCTTTCTTTTCCCTGGCTTAATAGTGAATATATGCTCATTTGGAACAAAAGATAAATAAAATACTAGGAATAGGCTTACTAACCACTAAGTTTCATTTTTGGTGCATGTTTTCTCTAGCAGTGGTTTATTATTATCTTTACTTAAACAGAACTGAACTTTAATGATTACTATGTTTCCCTTTTCTAAATTTCACCCTCCTAGAAGCCATGCAAATTATACTAATATATGAATGGACGCACTTGTAAACTTAATTTTTATCTCATTGTTTTTCAATAGCTGGGATAATAATGAGAGAGAAAAGATGAGTCCCTGGGATATGGAGCCAATTCCAGAAGGAAGTAAATATGCTTTTAAAGTCAAATTATAATTCTTTAAAAAATAAAATTACTATAATATGATATTAGACACTAATCATTTCTAATTTTTCATCTTAATACCTAGCTGCCTTTCCAGATGAAGTTGGTGCTGGTGTTCCTGTTTCCCAAGAGGAATTGACTGCTTTGCTATACAAACCCCAGGAAGGAGAGTGGGGGGCTCATTCCAGAGATGAGGAATGTGAAAGAGTTATTCAGGGCATAAACCACCTTCTTTCCCTGGGTATGGTAAATGCAAAAATAAATAAATAAACAAACAAATAAGACAACTGAAGGAAGCTAAGCTGAGCAGAATTTTAAGTTCTATAATAGGAAATGCATTTTCTTACTGACACTAGTTTTGATATTAATATTTTTTGTGGTGCTGGGGATTGAACCCAGGGCCTCACACATGCCAGGCAAGCACTTTTCCACTCGGCTATATCCCCAGCCAAATATTAACTTTTTATATGCTTGGTCAAAATAATGACTGATAAATAAAATATTTTCAGTATTCTGGGGGATAATATTGAAGGCAGGCATGTAAGTGTCTTTTTCTTTCTTGAGTCATTTTGACTCTCTAGCTGCTAATTTCCTGAACCTGATCTTGGATGGGGTTCCTTAATAAAGACAGTGTGTGAATAATGTATTTTACCCACATGAATAGTTATGTTTTCAGAAATATATTATTTAAAAAGTTTTGTTGTTTTATCCAGAAAAGACTTAGCAGTCTAAAGTTCAACATGGTGCTCCTTTAATTTTGTTTTCTTTTACCTGAGTTTAACTAGTGTTTTGTGCATGATTCATTGATATTATGTCAAATAAAAACATACTATTGAATCATCATTGTTTTTGAATTTAGAATTTTGCCCTTATTTATTTATTACTGTTAACATTTAATATTAGTGTCTTTTATAACTATTTTTGATTTTGGTAATTTTGTAGATTTTGCCAGCCCTTTTGCTGTTCCAGTGGATCTCAGTGCCTACCCCTTGTATTGTACTGTAGTTGCTTATCCAACTGACCTCAATACCATCAGGCGGAGACTTGAAAATCGCTTTTATAGGTTTGTTTAGTTTTATTTAAAAATCCAGTTTTATGTCTATGACTTGCTTTTTTGAGATCGTGTTTTTGTGGTATTAAATAATCATCCATGATTTACAGTAGAAGGGGTAGAGAGAGAAAAGGGGAGGGGAGGGGAGGGGAGGGGAGGGGGGATAGTAGAGAATAAGACAGACAGCAGAATACATCAGACACTAGAAAGGCAATATGTCAATCAATGGAAGGGTAACTGATGTGATACAGCAATCTGTATACGGGGTAAAATTGGGAGTTCATAACCCACTTGAATCAAACTGTGAAATATGATGTATTAAGAACTATGTAATGTTTTGAATGACCAACAATAAAAAATAAATAAATAAATAAATAAATAATCATCCAATGACTCACTCTAAAATTTCTTCTAAAACTGTGGAACACCAATTTTATTTAATCGGTTTCCACTTTCCAAGGTGAAAAGGGTATAGGGAAGGAAGACAAAGAGGAAAACATGGGTAGCATGCATAATTAGGTTGTAAAATGAAAAGTGAAGTTAACTTAGTGTATTAAAGGCAAATTAGATGTTTTATGGATTCATCATAATTAAGATGCTACAGAAAGCCAGGCACAGTGCTGCACACCTGTAATCCTAGCCATTCTGGAGACTGAAACAGGAGTATTTCAAGTTTTAGGTTGGCCTGGACAACTCAGAGAGACCCTGTCTGAAAATTAAAAATAAGTAAATAAAGAGGACTACAGATGCAGTTGAGTTGTAGAATGCTTACCTAGAATGTATGAGACTCTGGGTTCAATCCCAAGTACTGAAAAAGAAGAGAGAGGGGGAGGGGACATGGAGAGGGAGAGGGAGAGGGAGATTGTACATAGATATAGAGCATGTCTAAATCTTCTTTGGGGCATTAGGTAGTAGTTAATTAGGTTTAATAACTATGTAGTAAAAGAACCAAGTTACTTTTTCCTTGGTTTTGGTTGGGAGGGGAATGATTATGGGAGGTTTTGGAAGAAAGTTCTTTGTTCTTCTCTATTTGAAGTCCACTTCACCCTAATCTTAGTATCCCATGAACTGGTTAGTCTGCCTCTTATAATTAAGAATTGAATGTATTTTTACAACATTTTAATATTATTCAATACTAAATATTATGAACAATAAGTCATTCTGTATAACCTGGTTTATTTTTTTCTTTGTCCCCTTCTTCTGAAAACGAAACATTATTTTTGTCTTTATCACAACACACTTTTTTTTTATTGGTTGTTCAAAACATTACAAAGCTCATGATATATCATCTTTCATACATTTGACTCAATTGGGTTATGAACTCCCATTTTTACCCCAAATATAAATTGCAGAATCACATCGGTTACACACTCACGTTTTTACATAATCATCAAATCACTCTTTACACACAGTGTCCTGGATCAGTTCTCTTCTAGTTTTAATAGGCTGTCTAGTATTTCAAAATTCCCTCCTGTGCTTTAAATCCTGAAATTGTTCATCCCTTTTTTTAGCCTTCATCAGGTACATATTTGAGACATTAATATATTGGATCTCCTTTGACATAAAATTATTAAGTGCCTACTTTTTCTGTTGCATATTCTTAGAATGTAGTTTAAATGTATCAGACAAAGGTAACATAGGATATTTTTTTCTTTTGTAGGAGAATATCAGCATTAATGTGGGAGGTGCGCTACATTGAGCATAATGCTAGGACTTTCAATGAGCCAGACAGTCCTATCGTTAAAGCAGCCAAAATTGTAACTGATGTTTTACTTCGATTTATTGGGTAAGAAGCATTTGTTTCCTTCTAAGAGACTAACTTACAGCTTTTTAAAAATTATTGAAATGGCTGGGCACAGTGATGTAGATCTGTAATTCTAGGTACTTAAGAGGCTGAGGCAGAAGGATTGCTGCCAGCCTCAGCAACTTAAGAAAGACATAAGCAACTCAGACACTTTCTCAAAATAAAAAGGGAAGGGGATGTGGTTCAGTGGTTAAGCCCCTCTAATTCAATCCCTGATACCAGAAATAAATAAATAAATAAATAAATAAATAAATAAGTAGAAATGTATTTTGACTTGTTTCTTAGGGATCAGAGCTGTACTGATATACTGGATACTTATAATAAAATTAAAGCAGAAGAACTAAACAGTACTGATGGAGAGGAGGTAAGAATCGTAGTATGATAAATAGTAATGAATTCATTTTCTGTTATTTGGAGTATAGTAAGTGTCATACATAAATATTACAATTGGCTGTAAGCAGTAAAAGATTTTTGGAAGCTGACTGTTTTTTGTCAAATCACTTGTTTTTTGTCAAATCACTCTTTACATTGCTGGATCTTGGGGGAAAGACACTGGCAGAGTCTGCAGGAATTTATATGCAGGTTTCCATCTATGACCTCCTAGAAATGAAAATGAAGCAATCTATATGTTATTAGATGCTTAGTCCTCAAGGATTTTATTAGTTGCTAGTTATGTAGAAACTATCTAACTAGCACATACCAAGATTTCAGATTCCCAGGAGAAAGCAGGTATCTAGCACAAATCACATTGTTTATACCACCTCCATAATAAAGGAAATTTCCAAATGTCAGCCATGGGCCAACCATTTAAGTGAAGCCCTGCTAAAGACATATTAAATGCTTTGACCTATATTCAGATGGACTATACAAAAATATAATCATGCTAGAGGGTTTAGTCAAGGTCAGGAGGCCAGTCATCCTGTATAACTCAGTGGGTTTCAGTGAGGAGAAATTAATACTTTATTTTCTGATCCTTAAAAAAAATGACAAAGCACTCAATATTTTAAAAGAATATCTAGTTGATGAAAATTTGATTAGGGGTTTTATTTTCTATTCATTGTATGTAAAATATTAAATTATTTTATAATGATAGATTAAACATCTAAATATTTAAGTTTCATGAAGTTGCAGCTTTATTTCTTTGTATAAATTTCTAAATATAAAGTAGTCTTTGCTGAATAAAATGGAATTTATATTCTCAACAGAATTTCACATATGTGTTTCCTTACCAATCATTGTTTCTAACTTACATAAAACCATATTTGACCAGAGTTTATGATAGAAACCAAAACAAGATATGAAATTGGAATAATATTGAAAACTGGTAATTCAAAATTTTTACTGGAAAACAGTTCATCCCAGGGAGAAATGACTCAATTTTGCTAGATCTTATTGCAATGGCATGAGATATTTTACATGTTTATTTTGGTGTGTGTGTGTGTGTGTGTGTGTGTGTGTGTGTGTAGCATTGGGAATTGAACACAGGGCCTTATGCATACTAAGCAAGTCCCTATCTCTGAGCTACATCCCGGCACTGTTTTTCCTTTTATGAAAATATCTGACTATAAAGCATTGTATTATTGGGGTTAAATCTTATTTTCATAATAATAACAAGGAAAACACGATACACAAATTAGATATTAGCCTCTTGAAAGCCAAGAAAAGTTTATCATTATCATTCCCTCTATATTCTCTGCCCTTTTTCATAAATGTATTTTAACATAGGATTTGATGTTTCAAGAATTTTTTGTCAAACTAGGACTACTTGGATTAGGATAGATAACTAAAGTAAAATATAATCTAACAGCTTTGTTTTTTAACTACTGATATTAGAAAGGAATATAAATAGTTCATTAGTTACTTTACTAGTAGCTCTTAACCTATGTGCTTTGCCATCACCAGTGGTATAGGCCTTAACTACTTGTATTTAAAAAACTATCCCTCAGGGAGACAATTAACTGAACCTCTGGCTAAGTAAAAAGTTAAATTTCCCTATAGAAAAAAGATCTATTCCTTGAAATAACAAATAATTGACTATGAGTATTTTCTAATTTTATTAAGTGAACATGTCATCTATAATAAAGTTTGATAAGAAATACTAACACAGATAACAACCTTCTCCAGTCACTACAACTTTTCTGTTGTTTCCTTTTCTAATTTGAAGAGAAACCTTGTTAAGTTCTCCCAATATCGTTTTCAAATTGTTCACAGTATATTGGCAAAGTTTGGGGTAAGTCTCCCTCAGCCTTTGTTTTGTTGCCTGCTCCACTGAGGAAAGTTGATTATGATTATATTTGCCATTTACTTTTAGGTTTCTAGTTTGTAAAACTTAACATCTCCTCATACTTTCCTCTTTTAACTTAGGATACAGAAATGGTTGATTTAGATTCAGATGGTCCTGGTACTTCATCTGGAAGAAGGGTAGGTAACTAAGTGAACTACTGAGAAGAAACATTTTCAGACTTACTGTGTCAGAGATTCCAAAGAGCAATTCCACATTGGAGAGTTGCTAGAAGGATTCTTGGTACTAAGGTTATAGTTTTACTCATGGCTAAGATTTTTTTTTTTACAGTAACTCAGTATGTATACATTGCTGGATCATAGGGGGAAAGACACTGGCAGAGTCTGGAGGAATCCATATGCAGGTTTCCATCTATTATCCCTCTCCTATGAGGTCATTCTCCTAGAAATGAAAATGAAGCAATCTGTATGTTATATTAGACGCTGTCCTCAAGGATTTTATTAGGTACTAGTTATGTAGAAACTATCTAACTAGTATATACCAAGATTTCAGATTCCCAGGGGAAAGTAGGTATCTAGCACAAATCAAATTGTTTATACTACCTTTATAATAAAGGAAGTTTCCAAATGTCAGCCATGGGCTAACCATTTAAGTGAAACCCTGCTAAAGACATTAACCTCAGGCCTCTCATGTTAACTCTTTTCTGCATATTTCTTCTCCATGATAATTAGACATGAAAGTTATTCTGTAGAAAGAACAATATCCTTTAAAATATTGAAAGGGATCATAACAGAAGGCAGCAAATTATAAGATTAGAATATCATGGCCATAAAAGATTTAGTTTTAAAAAATTGTCCTGAACAATTGATGGTGCCCTTGTCAAGTAAACTTGACTACCAAGAAATATTAAATCTATAAATCTATTAGCTTTGTACAGGAAAAGCATTCATTTCTTCTCTTTTTTGTACTTTATTTGAGATTCAGGTTTTTTTAAATAAAAATTCAGAATTCTAGAATCTTGCCATTTCTACAAATGCAATGTCTAGTGGTTTTATCTTTTGTTTTGTTTTGTTTTGTTTTCAGTGAGAATGGTATAAACTTTTAAATAGTGGCTGCTCTGTTTTATACAAATATATTAACACTAGGGATACATGAAAAAGTCAGTGAAAAGTTAAAGGCATAGCCTTTAGATATAATTCTATTAAAAATCTATAGGTCAAATGCCGAGGCAGAAGACAGTCTTTGAAGTGTAATCCTGATGCTTGGAAAAAACAATGCAAAGAACTTTTGAGCCTCATTTATGAACGTGAAGACTCAGAGCCATTTCGACAGCCAGCTGATCCTCCTCCTTTGCCAGTAAGCATGCATTTGTTTATTGCCAATATAATAATTTTCCTTAAATCTAGATAAGTACAATTTCCCCCATTTTTCTTTATTTCCTTCCATACTTCTATCTTTAAATTATGATTAGTCATGACTTTTTAAAATGGCTTTCATGTACTAGGTACATAAATTATTATACATTTAAAAACCAAATTTGAATAAATTTCTTTGCTATTCTTTCCTGCTTTTATTTCAGATATTTCTTGAACACATTGCTAATTTATGATATACTTTTATTCAGTGTGAATACTTAATTACATGTCAGTCCTATTTAGTTTATAATAAACATGGTCACTAGAGTAGCCAACATACGAATATTACTTTTCAACAAACATTAAAAACATGAGAAAGTAGGTTATAGGATTTCTCCTCTAGGAATGTATCTATTTATATGTTTCATTACCTTTTATTAAATAACAAGTCTTTTTTAAACTTTTTCATAGAAAAATATGGCAATATTTCAGAAATACATCAGAGCATCAGCTAAGCTTAACAACCATCCATATTCTCTGTATTCATGGGATTCAGTTTGGAAAGGATATTTAAGGAACAATATTATGTTAGATAAAGCTCATTTTGTTTTTTGTTTTTAGAGAGTTTGGGCAGAACACACTAGTCTTATTTTATATAGTAGAAAATAATGGTGAATGCAGAATTCCTTCACATTAAAGTACAACCTATAAAATATTATTTCTATTTTTGGATTTTTTAGCCTTAAGTTATAGTTGTATTACAAGACCTGATATTTTTGTAGTGGTGATCTGGGGGAAAAATGCATGATCTTTACCCTAATAGGGCCATCAAGAGCAAGAAGGAGAATCCTCAGAATCAGTTGTTGCAGAAAGACAACAAGATCCATCTCTTTCTGAGGTAGGCTTATTTGCCTTTAAAAATACATACACTGGTGGTTGTTTTGTATGTGTTTTTTTAAAAAAATACTATGCCCTTTGTAACTTGTTAAAATTGCCTTCTAATTCTGTTTTCTTCTCATATTTGTTCATTTTTTATCTTTATTTTTTTGTTTTTAACAGTTTCTTAAAGTTGTTCCTTATAGTATCCATGTAGATGTTTATTTGTTTATATAGACTAAATTTAATGCAGCAGAGTAGAAAACATCAATAATACAATATGATTTTGTCTGTAGTGCACCTGATTATTCCCCCTAGGAGTTAATTCAACAAGCAGGCTGAGTCTGGGTTTTAATAGTATTACAGAAGTCCCAAAAATTGCCTTTATAAAAATATTAGTGTTTCATAAACCATGTTTTGTGAGAATATTCTTTTGGACTTTTTTCTGATTTAAAAAATAAGATAATACATTTAGAGCAATTAAGGGTTCTCATTCTTTGGAAAATGTTGTCTTCTCTTATTTAGAATACATTTTCTCTGCCCCTACTTCTGGCTCTTTTAATTTCTTCTTTAAGGGAAATGTGATTTTACTTTTTAATCCCTCTAAGTAGAATGAGGGTTCTAATATTGACTGTGGGTTTTACTTCAAAACTTAAATATTGAGGATTATAGCATATGTGTATAGGTATAAATACCAAATACTATTCCATATGATAACTTTAATATTAGCTATACTTGAAATCTTTTAATTTAATATGGAATCTTCCCTTTCTCCTAAAAAAATCAAACTAAATTCTGAACTTCTAAGCCAGAGGATTTCAGATGAAGCAAAAATAACACATTGATTAAAAAATAAAAAATGCCCAAAGTCCTGGGTTAAATCCTTAGCACCACATTACAAACACAGACACAGATATCAAAAAGGAGAATCAGAGGTGTTGCTCAGTTCTACAGAGCATGCCTAGTGTTCAAAAGACCTTGGGTTTAATTCCTGGTATCCTAGTACTACCCAAAAGATGAAAAATAGAAACTAACACCTGGAGATTAAATAATACACTTTTGAATGATGAATGGATACAGAAGAAATCGGGGGAGAAATAAAAAATACTTAGAGGTAAATGAGAATAATGAAATAACATATCAAAATCTCTGTGACAGGGCTGGGCTTGTGGCTCAGCGGTAGAGCACTCGCCTAACGTGCAAGGCCCTGGGTTCAATCTGCAGCACTTCATAAAAATAAATAAATAAAAATAAAGTTATTGTGTCCAACTACAACTAAAAAATTTAAAAAAATCTCTTTGACAGTATAAAGATCATAGCATTGAGCTGATAAACTAAAAGAATAGAAAGATACCAAATAAATAATCTTAACATCTCAAGGCCCTAGAAAAAGAAGAATAAATGAACAGCAAAATCATTAGAAGACAGGAAATATTAAATCAGAGCCGAAATCAATGAAATTGGGATAAAAAATACAAAAGAGCAACAAATCAAGGGGTTGGTTTTTGAAAGGATAACCAAAATTTATAAATGATTAGCCAAAATATCAAGAAGAGGAAAAAAACTCAAATTATCAAAAGTCCGAGATGAAAAAGGAAATATCACCCAGAAACTTAGGAAATACGAAGGATCATTAGTATTATTTTGAAAATTTATATTCCAATAAGCTAGAAAATCTTGATGATATGAACAAATTCCTAGAGATATATGACCTACCCAAATTGAACAAGGAGGATATAGAAAACTTAAACAGATTGATTTCTAGTAATGAAATTGAAGCAATAATCAAAAGCCTTTCAAAGTCAAGGACCAGATGGATACTCAGCACTAAGTTTTATGAGATCTTCAAAGAAGAACTAATACTATTCTCAAATTATTTCATGAAATAGAAAAGGAAGGAACTCTGTCAAATTCATTTTATGCACCCAGTATCACCCTGATACCAAAATCAGACAGATACATCAATGAAGAAAACTTCAGACCAATACACCTGATGAATGTGGATGCAATAATGCTTAATAAAATATTGGCAAACTGCATAAAAACACATTAATAAGTTAGTACACTTGGGCTGGGGATGTGGCTCAAGCTACCGCTTGAGTTACATGCTCGCCTGGCATGCACAGGGCGCTAGGTTCAATCCTCAGCACCACATAAAAGAAAATAAAGATGTTGTGTCCACCAAAAACTGAAAAATAAAAATAAATATTAAAAAAATTCTCTCTGTGTGTCTCTGTCTCTGTCTCTCTCTCTTAAAAAAAGTAAGCAAATGGGTTTCATCCCAGGGATTCAAGATTAGTTCAGAATACAAAAATCAATAAACGTAATTCACCAGATAAATAGACTTAAAGATAAGAATTACATGATTATCTCCATTGATACAGAAAAAGCATTTAACAAGGTACAGCACCTGTTCATGTTTAAAACAGTAGAGAAACTAGGGATAGAAGGAGCATACCTCAACATTGTAAAAGCTATATATGACAAACCCAAGGCCACCATTATTCTTTTTTAGTTATAGGTGGACACAATATCTTTATTTTATTTTTACGTGGTGCTGAGGATCGAACCCAATACCTCACACATAGTAGGCGAGTGCTCTACCTCTGAGCCACAACCCCAGCCCAGGCCAACATTATTCTTAATGGAGAAAACTCAAAAGCATGTTCTCTAAAATCAGGAACAAGACAAAGATGCCCACTTTTACCACTCCTATTCAACTTAGTCCCTGAAACACCAGTCAGAGGCATCTGATAAATAAAGAAAGTTAAAGACATATAAATAGGAAAAGAAGAGCTCAAATTACCTCTATTTTCCAATAACATGATCTTAGAAGATCACAAAAAAACTACCAGAATAGTTCTAGAATTCATAAATAAATTTAGAATAGTGGTATACAAAATCAACACCCATGAATCAGTCACGTTCTTATATACCTTATATATTATATACCTTCTGAAAAAGAAACTAGAAAAAGTATCCCATTCACAATAGACTCAAAAAAATAAAATACTTGGGAATCAACCTAACAAAAGAGGTGAAGGACCTCTAAAAATGAAAACTATAGAACACGAAAGAAAGAAATTGAAGAAGACTTTAGAAGTTGGAAAGACCTCCCATGTTCTTAGATAGGCATGGTTAGTATTGTAAAAATGGCCATATTACCAAAAGTGCTATATAGATTAAATAGTGATTCCCATCAGAATCCCAATGATGTTCTTTATGGAAATAGAAAGAACATTCATGAAATTCATTTGGAAAAACATGAGACCCAGAATGGCCAAAACAACCTTAGCAAGAAAAGTAAAGTAGGAGGCATCACAACACGGGACCTCAAGTTATACTGCAGAGCTATAGTTAAAAAAAAAAAAAAAGTATGGACACCAAAAAAGGTATGGAGAATAATGGAATAGAATAGAAGACACAGAGACAAACCCACATAATTACAATTATCTGATAATTGACAAAGGTGCTAAAAACATACATTGCAGAAAAGATAGCCTTTTTAACAAATGGTGCTGGGAAAATTTAACCTCTTTCTCTTACCCTATACAAAACTCAAAGTGGATTAGCGACCTAGGAATTAGAAGAGAAGAAAATGTAGGACCAACACCTCCAACATGTCAGCTTAGGAATAGGCTAAAAAATGTTTTAAAAGGCTAGTTTTTACATTTAAAAAAATCATAAATGGAACCACTATTTGACCTAGCTATTGCACTACTCACACTGCTCAGTTTATATCCAAAAGATTTAAAATCAGCATACTACAATGATGCAGACACATCAATATTTATAGCAGCACTATTCACAGTAGTTAAGCTGTGGAGCCAATCTAGGTGCCCTTCAACAATTGAATAGATACAGAAAATGTGGTATATATACACAATGCAGTTTATTCAGCCATAAATAAAAATATAATCATGTCCTTTGCAGGAAAATGGATGGATCTGGAGACTATCATGCTAAGTAAAATAAGACAGTCCTCAAAATCCAAATGTCAAATATTTTCTATGATATGTGAAAGCTGACCCAAAATAAGGTGTGGGGAGGAAATAAAAAAGAATTGAAGAAAGATCAATGGAGTAGACAAAGGGGAATGAAAGGAAGTGAAGATGGATGGGACTGAGAAAGACAGTAGAATAAATCTGGCATAACATTCCTATGTAAATATATGAATATACCACAGTGTATCTCACCATCAATTACATCCACTAGACACTAATTAAAAGTAAAAAACTATGAATAGCAGAAAGATCACTATAGTAGTATGATGAGAGCAGGGGAGGATAAGGGGACTGAATATAAGAACTGGATAAGAATAAATTATATTCCATGTCTTTATAATTATGTCAGAATAAATTCTATTGTTATGTATAACTAAAAAACCAATAAAAAGGAGACAAAAAGTACAGAGAAAAAGAAATCGAGATCTTCAGTTGCTAATTACTCTTCAAGTAAAAATGTCCTCATAGCTGGAAAACTTTGGAAATACATAGCTAATTTGTATAGTGGAACCATTTATTTATGCATGCACAATTCCATCTTCTCTAATTAAACAGTTGGCCAAGTGTTGGAAGTTACATCAGCCTTTAAGCAGGAAATTGAATTCCATATTGTGGGCTCTGTGAAAATAAAGCCATTGACTGTATTTTATATTCTATGCCTTCAAAATAATGTATGATTAAAGACTGCGTTGGTAGGATTAAGGCTCTTCCATAGACCCTACATGTTTTGCTATAAACCAATTTATGGTTTGGAGCTGGGGGAAGGTAGTTGGCAGGTTGAAAAATGATGTGTTCATTTCATGGTGGATTACATTGGTATGTAATGCAAATCTCCGACCAATGTATTATTTACTATTGTTATGTAGTTTGGATATTTAAATGTAATACATTATTCTTTGTAGGATTATCAAGATACACCTATGGACTTCAGCACTGTGAAAGAAACTTTAGAAGCAGGAAACTATGGTAGTCCTCTGGAATTTTATAAGGATGTTCGCCAAATATTCAGCAACTCCAAAGCTTATACCTCTAATAAAAAATCAAGGGTATGAAAAACAGTATTAGATGGGTTAATTAAGCATTTAATGACATACGTAACTGGCAGTTTTCTTCCAACATTTTTGAAATTGCTAATTAAGTATTTACTATACTTCTGACATAGTTACTGAGATTTAGTTTTCAGTATCTTCTCTGAAATGTGTATTTTTTATTATGCATACATAAAGTTACATTTAACATAATCATACTAAAATGAAGCACATTTTTCTTTCTCATATCTACCTTTTCTTTAGTCTTTAATAATACTTGTACCTTCCAGAGAAAAGAGAAGGAAAGAAGAGATAAATTTGAATGCCCTTTAATATATCCAATAAATTACTCATTAAATATAATGGTAGATGATGGTATTAATTTCTATAAAACTTTTTGATTAGCTCTGAATGTTTATGTTACCTTTGTTATAACAAACAGTGAACCACGATGGGAAATTTTAACTGTTCATTCATACTCACATATAATAATACCTTATATTTTGAAAGAGCATAAAATATCTTGAGGACAAAAATAATAATAATATTTTTTGTCTGTTCACTGGTATCATTAAATTTTAAGTGAGTTACATAGTATGTATATTTGCCGATTCATTCTAAATTCTGGAGGCATAGTTTTTTTTCACATTTTCTTTTTATCCTTTAATCATGATTGTTAAGAGTGATATACATTTTTTCGTAGAAAGTTTGGGAAATACAGAGAAGTAAAAAGAATTATGTCAAATCATATTGGCATGTGTAACTAAAAAGACCAATAAAAATGAAAAAAGAAAAAGCAATCAGCTGTATAGCTCATTTTTTTTGTTTACAGTTAATATTTAATACATATACTAAAAATGTTTCTTATTAACATATCCTCACATATGTTTATGTATTCTTTTAAACAGTAGGTTTTATGTTTTAGGATCTTTATTATTTATGTTATAACTCTGTGAAAAGAAGATTTTCAATGGTATTCTATTTTGTGGTTATTTTATATTATTTAACCACTGCCTGTTGCTAAAGATATAGGTTTTTCCAGTTTTTTACTTTATCTGAATAATGGTTATGGCTAACATTTTAAATATCCTTGAACATAATTTTGCGTTCAATTCCCTAATATTTTCATAAGACACATTCTCAGAGGTAAATTTATTAGCCAAAGATATGCATATTTTTATGTTTATGGTACCTCTTATAAATTGTCCTTTAGAATATTACTCCAGATAAAATTTCCTCAATGTTTGATTCTTTTTCTATTCTTCAGAACAACTAAATATGTGTTTTCAAAATATTCATTAATTTTGTTGTGAAAATATGTCTTGTTTTTATTCTTCAGGAAGAGTTTCTCAAGTAAATAAATAAAGTGTATATTTGTTTGAAATGATTATGTTGATATTGGTCCAGCCATATTTGTACCATTTTTTTTACATAATTAAAGTAATTGGTAAAATTTCTGCCTTTTCAGATCTATAGTATGACACTTCGACTATCTGCCTTATTTGAAAATCATATTAAAACTATCATCTCTGAATATAAGTCAGCAATCCAGAGTCAGAAGAGGAGAAGGCCACGGTACAGAAAACGTCTAAGAAGCAGCAGCAGTTCCTTATCTAGTACCAGAGCTCCTAGGTATATTATACTGATGCAGCATTCATTTTCTGGTTTCAGAACATTTTGTATGTATACCTCATTTCTCAAAGTTTATAAATAGTTTGAGGAAATCCTAAGTGGTCATTTTTCCCAGAACTCTTATTTCTGGGTAAGATGGATTTAGTAACCAAAGCATTGTTTATGTGGATTTTACTGTACCAAATTCTTTAAGAAAAATTATTAAACCAAGCTTAAATTTGTCAAATTACAAATTTGAATCAATTCAAAGCTTGAATTTGGGGGTATTTCCTCTTTAGTCAACTTAAGCATTTTATAGCATGCTGTCTATCATTATTTGTTATTAACAGAAAAAAATGTTCTTCATCACATATTTTTATTTACAGTCCAAAAGGGAAACAGAAACAAATGAAGTTGCAACCTAAAAATGACCAGAATACCTCAGTGACTTATGCCAGGACTAGTTCTCCTTTCTCATCTCCTGGTAAATATGGTTTTTTGCTTTAGTGTTCTGTATCTAAATTAATTATGGATATTAAGGATATGGAAGAGGTAGCATAGCTTTTAATGAAAAAAGGAATAATTTTGGATTTAGAAAAATGTGTTTTAGTTCTAGTTCTATTTGCTTAGCAGTGTGGCCCTGGATATAGGCCACATAATTTGATTAGTTAGACAGATACATTTTAATGGCTCTTAGTTTGGGAATTCTGTGACTATATGATTTTTACTATCTATACTATTTCAGAACATTCATTCAATATTGTTGGAGATGATTTCCTTGGAGAAGATTTATCTGATATTTTGTGCTTGACAGAATGATAATTTGTCCTGAAAATATACATACTTCCTTCTTATAGTAACTTATAATATTTATTTTAAAGTAAAATAGCAGATACATAGTTTTAAAAGCAGCCTATTTAACTTTCCTGAAAACATGAAATTATGTCAACCTAACAAGTTGTTTAAAATGAAAGTTTCAGATGCTGCTGAAGGATTTTCATCATATCTGCTTGATGATGAGCTAGATGGGCCATTTTCTTCATCGAGCTTCAGTGGATATAGCCGAAATGGAAATAGCCATGATCCAGGAAAAGCCAAATCATTTCGAAATAGAGTTTTGCCAGTGAAACAAGGTAGGAAAAAATATGGAACAGAACATTCATTTCTTCATTCTCCTATGATGGAAGATGAATCATTTGAAAACTCATGTGCTAGAGTAGTAAAATCTAGTATGTCCTCATAGTTGTTTTTATGGTACCAGGGATTGAAACCAGAGCCTCATGCTTGCTAGCCAACCATATTTCCAACCCTTTATTTTATTTTGAGATGGAGTCTTGTTACATTGCCTAGGCTGGCCTAAAATTTGTAGATAGAGTCTCACTAATGCTGGCTTCAAACTTGATTCCCCCTGCCACAGACTCCCAGGTAGCTAATATTATAGGTGTGTGCCACTGTGCCCATCATGTTTTAGTCATTTTTGGTTTTGGTACCAGGGATGGAACCCAGGGGCACTTTAACATCGAGGCACATCCCCAACCCTTTTATTATTATTATTATTATCATTTATTTTGAGACAGGGTCTCACTATGTGGAGTTGTTGAGGCTGGCTTTGCAATCAGAATCCTTGTGCTTCAGTCTCCAGAGCCACTTATAGTACAGGAATGCGCCACCATGCCTGGCTATGTTTTAGTCTTTTAAAATAAATAGGAAGAAAATCACTAAATGAGGAAGTCTTTCCCCAAACATAGAAGAACCATACACTTAAACACATTTAGGATTTTTCATTAGTAAATCATATTAATAAGAAGGGAAAAGTTTGTAAAGTCATCTTGAAATAGTTCTCACATTTTTATGGACTATTCCAGTAAGACAAAAGTTGGCCTGAATTGAGAAATGATCCTCCTTTCAGTCAGTATCCAATTCTCCTGCCTTCCTATGGTTATCTAGTTGTATAGCTCAGATATTTTCTTCCCTAGGTGCCTGCTATATCACTAAGTTATTGATTTTCAGATTATGCCCTGGGGATACATAGAGGTACTTCAGAAATTCCCTGAAAAGTCTTACACATTTAACCAGATGAACTAAGCCATTTTATTATTTCCTATAATGATCTTCCATATAACTTTTATTTGAAAAAAAAAAATTCAGTGTTGACAAAGAAATCATTGACCTAATTCATTACCATGTGCATCCATCTTAGTCCTTGTCAGGGACATTGATTATTATAAATACTTGAAGGTTTCATCATTACCAAAATTTTCTTATTATACTTAGTTCTATATGTTATGATCCCTAAACATATTCAAAGACAGTTCTAGTATTTTCAACTATTTGAAGTTTGTGAGAATATTTAATATGTTTTTACAAATGCTTTTATTGGAATATGGATTTAATTTTGTGCACATTTTAATTGAAATCAACTATACATAGTCTAGAGATATAATTTATATTAATGAGAAAAAATATCAAAATACCCTATTACTTGAAATTAATGTGCCTTTGTTTTTCCCTATCTATATCTTTACTCTCTCCTCTGATTTTTTTTTTTTTTAAACTGGGGATTGAACCCAGGGGTACTTAACCACAAAACCACATCCCCAGCCCTTTTAATTTTTATTTTGAGTCAGGGTCTCACCATGTTGCTGAGGCTGGCTTTGAACTTCGGATCCTCCTGTTTTATCCTCCTAAACTGCTGGGATTACAGGTGTGCACCACCATTCCCGGCTCTTCTCTGATCTTGCTACTCTTTGAAAACTCATGCTACTGCCTTCTCCCATTTTGCCCTTTCTATCACTGATATGTTTTTAGAAAGAATAGCCTATATTTCTTTCCTCTATTTTCTTTCCATCTACATATTCCTTTAGTTTTGTAACGTAGCTTCTGTTCTAACCACTTTCCAAATCTGTTCTCCTCAAAATCCCCAGTATTATTCAAGGGTCAACCCGTGTCCTTTTCTTAGTCCTTATATTGTTCATCTTTGTATCATTGCATACAGTTGACTACCTCCTCTATGAACTCTACTTCCAGGTTTCTATACTCTTCTGATATTCTTGTATCTCTGCTTCACCTGTATTTACTTTCTTCTCTTTGGCCCTATTTTCTGTTTGCAGTTTGCCCCTGGATTTAGTTTATTTTTGTCCTCTCCAAAGAATAGAATCTAAAGACTATAACAGTTACCTTAATGCCAGTGTCTCTCCAAGTACATATGCCCAGATCAAACATCTCTTTATTCTAACTGATTTCATTTCTAGTTGCTCCCTAAAAAAATTCTTCAGTGCTTAACATCTTTTCATCTCAAGTTCACTTCTTTTTGTGTGCTCATTATTTGAGTTATGGTACCACCTTTTTCCTATCTCACAGTTTTCTTTTGTTTTTGTGGTACTGGTGATTCAACCCAGGGCCTTCATTCATTTAGACAAGCATTGTACTACCAAGATACATCCCCAGTCTTCATAATGCATTTGACTCTCCATTTACTCCTCATATTCAGCCAGTAATCAAGTTTGGTGAATTCTAATGCTCCTTTTAAAAAAATTTAGTTGCAGATAGACACAATACCTTTATTTTTTTAAATTTATTTTTATATGGTGCTGAAGATTGAACCCAGTATCTTACACATGCTAGGTGAGCACTCCACTACTGAGCTACAATGACACCCCCCACTAATGTTCTTAATACCACTGAAACCTCTATTTGTTATCTGTTGCTATTATCTTGGTCTCTAGCCAAATATATTAGTCATTTTTGCTGTGATGAGTATGTTCCATATATTGGGAAACTTAAACAACAGACATTTATTGTCTCACAATTCTAGAGGCTCTCAGTCCAAGGAATCAAAATGGATAAGGGTTAGTGTCTGATGAGGGCTTTTTTTTTTTAAATTGTATTCAACTATGACTAAAACTAAATAAATATTTTTTTAATTTTATTTTTTTTATTGGTTGTTCACAACATTACAAAGCTCTTGACATATCATATTTCATACATTAGATTGAAGTGGRTTATGAACTCCCAATTTTACCCCAAATGCAGATTGCAGAATCACATCGGTTACACATCCACAATTTTACATAATGCCCAATTAGTAATTGTTGTATTCTGCTACCTAGATGAGGGCTTTTTTGCTGGCTAATAATTGGCCACCTTCTCATTGTGTCCTTATATGATCCTATATGGAGAAAGGGGGTGGTTTCTGAGTTTACTCCTCCACCTATAATGACACCAGTCTTACTAGTGACATCCTTATGACTTTATTTAACCTTTATTAACTACCTACTTCCTTAAAGGCCCCAATTTCTGTATGCAGTCTCATTAGGGGTCTGGGCCTCAACATAGAAATTTGATGGGGGCATTATTTAGTCCATAACAACTAAATTACTAGATTAAACTTTTAATCATTGTATTCATTATACAACCCTAGTCTTTCTTCCTTTTAGTCTACTCTTCTGTTTTCTTCTAACCTCATTGTCTTTTTCTTCTCAATTACCTTTGCTGGTTCTTCTTTACCTTTAAGTAAAACATCCCACATTGCCATCCTTGGCCATTTTCTCTATACTTGCTCTTTCAGTAAGCTCTTCCAGTTGCCATGACCCTAAATATCTCTATGAAAAATTACCAAAATTTTGTCTTCAGATCCATCCTTTCTCTAAGCTCCAGCTGATATATCTACCTTCTTTGTAAATTTTATTTTCCTTTTGAGGGTATTGAGAATTGAACCCAGGGCCTTACATAGGTAAGCATGTTTTCTACATGTGCATAATCTCCAATCTGTTTTTTTCTTCATTATCTTTTCTTGGAACTCTTTTACCATCCATAACTGGAAGCCTGATTTTTATAGCACCCTGCTCAAACTTGTTCCACCATAGTATTACAACTTAGCAAAATATACCATTTACACAGTTGCTCAGGCTCTAAAACCAAGGAGTTAGCATTTTTTCTGCATTTTAGCACTTGATATCTAGTCCCACAGCAAGTCCCAGCAGTTCAACCTTTAAAAAATCAAAAGTTTACTTTGGTGTCTCCTAGAAGGAAATATTCTAAAGTTGATCTCTTTTTATCACTTCTATTGGTGCCTCCCTCATTATATATTATCCAGACTACTGAAATGGAATCCCAATCTTGTCCCCTCTATAACCTGTTCTCAATAAAACAACCATGGCAGTCAATTTAAATCAAATATTTTACTGTAGTGTAAATCCCTCCTGTGTCAGTCATCGACCATCCCATTTTTCTGTTCCATTCTGATTATCCTTATATTTCTTCTACTTGAATATTTTTTCATCAGATCACAATTCATTCAGTTCTTTCTTAAAGTCCTTTCTCAGGAGCCTGGGGGTACTTTATAGTGCTTTCCTAGCATGCTTGAGGCCCTGGGTTTGATCCCTACCATTTGAAAAAAAAAAATCCCACCACTTCAGAGAGTTCTTACTTGTCTAAAATAACACTCTCACACTATTTTTAAACTCTTTCCTTTTTTTTTATAGCATATATCACTAATTGAAATTGTACTACTTATTCATTTACATCATTATCTGTTAACCTATCCCCAGTAAAACATAAATTACAAGAATAAGGACTTTGTCTCATTCATTACCATAATTCAAGATCCAAGCAGTGTCTGTGGCACATAGTTGAACAAATTAATGAAACTCTTCTGATACATGTTCTCACATAATTAGTCCTAAAGGTCAGCCTTTAAAATTTCTGCCTAGGTATATCACCACCCTTCAGTCTATCTCTATATCCTAATAATCACCCTGAAAAAGCAGTCAGACAAAAATCAAAATTTCACTATCTTCCATTTCAAACAAATTTAAGTTCTTATTTTACCACCTTCCATGATTTTGCCACAACTATCTTCAGTCAGTAAATATTTTGATAGTCTGTTTATTTTACTTTTGAGTGTTAAGTAATCATCTTATCAATGTCAAAGCTTAACTTTCAAAAATCATTTTGATTTAGATCACTCCCTTGATGGACCTCTTACAAATGGTGATGGCAGAGAGCCCCGAACAGGAATCAAGAGAAAACTACTTAGTGCATCAGAAGAAGATGAAAGCATGGGAGGAGAAGAGAAAGACAAAAAAGAAACAAAAGAGAAATCACATCTATCCTCCTCAGAGAGTGGAGAGTTAGGATCAAGTTTAAGTTCAGAAAGTACCTGTGGTTCTGATTCTGACTCTGAATCAACTTCCAGAACAGATCAAGATTACGTAGATGGAGATCACGACTATAGCAAATTCATACAAACTAGACCTAAAAGAAAACTCAGAAAACAACATGCCAATGGAAAAAGAAACTGGAAGATGAGAGGCACAGGAGGAAGAGGAAGATGGGGAAGATGGGGTAGATGGAGTAGAGGAGGCAGAGGAAGAGGAGGCAGGGGACGAGGGGGTCGAGGCAGAGGGGGTGGTGGCACTAGGGGAAGAGGAAGAGGGAGAGGAGGAAGAGGTGCCTCTAGAGGAGCCACTAGAGCCAAGCGAGCACGTATTGCAGATGATGAGTTTGATACCATGTTTTCGGGACGTTTCAGTAGACTGCCTCGAATCAAAACAAGAAACCAAGGCAGGAGGACTGTTTTATACAATGATGATTCTGATAATGACAATTTTGTGTCCACTGAGGATCCTCTGAATCTTGGTACATCCAGATCAGGCAGAGTGCGTAAAATGACAGAAAAAGCCAGGGTTAGCCATCTCATGGGATGGAATTATTAACAGTTAATAAATTTAGAATAATTTTAAAAATTCAATGGCCTTCTACTGCAGGGAATTTACCAGGAAATCTATAAAGCAAGTTGTGTGGGGACTTCTGCTTCCTTTCACATTGGTGCTTTTCCATTATGCCAGTATATATTTGTTTCAAGACTTTTGATCTCCACACTTCATTTGTTCAAACAAGCCTTACTCATTAGGCCTTAAATTAAAAGAAATTCTGCCCACACACACATAGACAGACACACACATACACACATACACACAAACACACACACACACACACATACACCCCATATACACACACCACATAGGCACACTACAGATTTACTACATTAAAGGAGCATTCTGCTTCTTAAGAGTAGCATGACATTTTTATCTCAATGGAATTATCCCTCTTTTGCTTTTGTATCACAGAAGTATAGCACCTTCTTACAGAGTTTTATATAGTTTGTTTTTGCCATTTTGATTCCTATACCCAGTAATAATAACTTTTGCACAATACACCAATCCTAAAGGCAGCTATTAAATGTTTACAGTTTCTATATTGTAAGAACGATCTGGATTATTTTACTCTTCCCAGGCCAAACTTTCATTAATTGTAGTGAACTGAAGTATATATTTATACTACAGTTTTTTGGGGGTGGGGGGAATCTTGATATGCTTTTCATTGATTTGCTTAATTCACATTAATGGTGAGAAAGGGTTGGTGCCTTGTAAATATGTAGCAAATCTTTGTGGTGTGTCCTGATGTGTGCATTAACTTTATTAAAAGAGAATACTTGAGGTATCAATCTAGACAAGGTGCCAAATGCAAAATTTTCTTGCATCCATTTTCTTTTTCCTATTATATTTTATTGCATTAATAGAATTTGTGTAGCTTAAAGAATAACTTAAACATTTCAAAGATCCTCATCCACAAAGAATAACTTCTTTGAATAGTAGCTCAGCTACCTCTATAAACTACAACTACTGGAAACATTAAGGAAAATAGATGCTGTTACTCATGACTAAGGAGAAGTAGAACAAGCTTGGTAGGAATGAACACTCATAAGCTGAGAGGTTGTCAATTATTATATTGGCTCTCAAATGAATAGTTGTAATTAACAAACTTTCCTAAGTATTGTATGCTTTACCTTAGGCTTTCTTAGAACACATTTGTATAAATAGACTTGGGCTACTGCTTATATATCTCTGCTACCACTTTCTATTTAACAGCTGTGCATTACTGATTTTTATTTGAAACTTAAAATGTAACAAAGCACCTAGTTTGAGTTGGAATGTTAGGGCTAGCTAATACTTTGAATCAGTAGGTTCTGATATTGTCATTCCAAAGGGTTCTTCTGGTCCAGTTTTTTCAGAAATGAACCTCATTGCACTGCACACTGATATTTTGAAACATTATTTTATAGATGGAAAAAAATCATTAAAACCCTTATGGTCTTGTTTACAGCAGTAGAGTGCACATGGTTCCATAAGTGAGCTTGAGTCCCAAGATCAATTTTACTCCTCAAATTTGAGAATGCAGAGTTGCTAATTTGTTAGATACTTAAATTTTGAAGTGAGAGGGATAATATTGATCTTTGTTTTTGTAACAGCAAATTTGTTGCATTTAGATCAAAACGTGTGTTAAAACAGACTTCTTAATGTATACCTAGCTATCTATCCTAGGATATTTCTTAAGCTCATATGTTTGTCTCATGATTTCAATCATTTCATGCATCTGAAAATCCTTAAGTACAGAGGAAGGAGTACACACATAACTTTGCTTTTTTGGTAGGGTTGGGGGTGGGAATTATTCTTGGACTAACATCTTTAAGCAATTTTCACTTGCAGTAGAAATGATGTTCGGGCTTTAAGAAAGTATTGTTGTGAATTGTTAATGGCACTAACTTCTGTTACTAGACAATAGACCAAGATGATATTTTTTGTTGTAGCCTTTTTTTCACTAAACCAAAACTACTCTGGTTATAACTCAGCTGCCATTTTAAACCATAGTATAGATTCAAAATGTTCCTATTTGAAACTCTACGTTTGATTTTTCCTAAATGTACTACTTCAGTTATTCATCTCTTGGGCATTTAGACTCAACTGTGCCTGTGTTTTCCTGGAATCAATAATACTTTGGCCTACCCTTATCAAAATAACATAGTTGCTTAAATTCCTGGATATACCCAAATGTGTATCATGTGTATCATTTTAGTGTGAATTTTTTTTGTTGTTGTTGACATTCTTCTATGAAGAGCTGACCTCTTGAAATGTAGAAGAATTGCCATTTGTGTGATCTTAGCTATCTGGAGCTTTATTTATAATTTATTTTGAATAATAAAAATGCCACATTTATTCCCCAAATGTCAAGATTTTCTAGGTTTAGGTAATTAGAATAATAAGGCTAAAAACATTTTTAAGCTTATTTTATATGTAGTGAAATACTGTGAAAATACTAGTGAACAGCAATTTTGCTGTAATGTTGATTTCAGTTATTAGGATTTAAAGAGTTAGTCACCAGGGTATGTTAGGTGAGTATAGTTATCATTTATTATAAAAAACAGATAATTTTCTGTTTGCATGCAAATTATTTTGATAAGTGTAAAAATAAAAGTTTGGGAGATATTATTTTTACTTTTTTATCTGGACTTTTCTCCCCATTTATACTTTGCTTTTTTGTAATATCACCTCTTGTGAATGTGTCATAATTTGTACCACATTGATAATTTTATTATTTTTAATTTCTAGGGGCCCTTTAAATAAGATCTGGGTTTAGACATAGCAAAGCAAGTAGGAAATGAACTAAGAATTTGCTAAGAAAAATCACTGTTACATTTAGGTCCATGAAAACATACACATGTATAAGCCTAATCCTATGCTAGCTATGAATAGACAGTAAGCTATAATATTTCTCATGAATGATAACAATTTTTAAATTCCCAGCATTAAGATCTTAGCATGTGTATATATTTATAAAAACTGAATCATATGTTTCTTCTATGGCTTGCTATGTTTTATCTCATCCAGCAATAGGATGTTCTCCAAAACATTAACTAACCTTCTAGCCTAATGACTAAATTTGTTTGTGTGTGTGTGTGTGTGTGTGTGTGTGTGTGTGTGTGTATGCTTGTATGTATGTAGGGTTTTTTCCCCAACTTGATATACCTTATCTCAGACATTAAAAAAGAGAGAATATTTTATGATGGAGGACATTGTCTATCAGTTCTTTGCCTCTGTCTCTTAGCCTGAGCATTTATTGCTTGATCATCTATTCCATTATGCTTTCTAGATTACCAACACAGGTTTTGTCATGAACTTGTATCCCTCTGTTCTTTTCATTTTATTTGCTCTTTTGTTTTATTTTTCTTTCCCTCCCCAGAGATCAAGCTTGTTCTAAAATTATTCCATACAGCACTTTGTTTAACCCAGAGGCAAAGAAACTGATTAAAATTCATAAATAAATTCTGCACAACTGTGTGCTTGGATATCTAACTCAGCCTTCCAGTATTTTGAAGAAATTTTGAGTGACTTAACTTTTGTTACTTTTGTTTTAATTCTGTAGATTGTCATCAGACAATAATAGAGTGAAAGAGAAAGATGTGAATGCCACTTCTAACTTTTTGATAACACTTTTTGAGCATTTTTCAAAATTTGTATGATTGTGGAAATGATAAACACTTAATTATTCACTTTTACATCTTTGGAATCATTTTGTGCACATTTGCCAACTGGTACTTGTCTTCAAATTTGGAATACTCTCATTCACAAAAAGGAGAATTAATGAGTAATATTTAGTATACTATGATGTCCAGTCTTAAATAAGTATAACATTTTGAGTTGAAAAATGAATAGTTCTGGGTGAAGAGTTAGGACTTTTGCTGTTTAAAGTCCATATTTTTAAAAATTCTAGCCCCATCCCCAACATTTTTGTGGTACATGAGGCTAACACTTTACTAAAAATAGAATATTCTGAGATTTAAGGCCTGTTTTGAAAATAGATGTGAAAATATTTTCATGTTTTTTATATTTTAGCAATTTCTTTACCAAGTTTTGGTAATCCAATGTAAAATTAAATTTTTTTCATGGTGCTGTATTTTTGTGGAATATTAATAGCACTCAGGTTTCTTGATATTTATTTCCTATATAGCCTTATCCTTAATTATTTCCTTTTTTGTCTTTCCTCTCCTGATTGCTTTTATCCACACTTACTTATCTGCAATAGACTGCACCTAAATTAGTGTATTCCAGCAAGACTGGAAATTTTTTGATTGATGGGAGAAGTGCAGTAGAACGGCCTTGCAGTTTAGAAATAAGGTGGGTTTTTTTATGTGTATGCCCATTTGTTATTTTACCATCTTTAACTGAATCTATTATTTGATACTTTGACATAGAGAAGCATGATAAGTATTTTCTAGAAAGCTAAAATTATTGATAACATAGAAATTGCCATTGTTAATTGGCTTAAAATCACATACAAATTATTTACAAACCCAGTTGGGAAATGTGTTTTTACATGTCACCAAATACATATTAGGCAGTACTACAAATGTTAATTCTTTAAATAATACTGTGGTGATGGCAATCAGTAATTTATTTCTTTGTCCTGTAACTTATCATTCTTGTCTTTTGTAATCCTTTACACAGTATTAACAAAACTGTACTTTGTTCTTAGTATCCATAAATTTAAAGATGGAAAATCATTCAGTTAATAGTCAATGTGATATTGTATATGGGCAAAATGTCCATTAAACTAAAATTTAGTTTTAAGAAAACAAGGTAAACTAAACTGGCTTGGTTTATAAAAGATGTTTTGTTTGGCAGTTGTCAGTCATTATTAAGCAATTACCTTCAAAGACAAAAATCGATTAATTTGTTGCCATTCTTTATGGGATGTTTACAATAAAATTCCAAGTTGTTTGGAATCAATTGCACTCTTGCTGCTTTATGCCTTAACTCATGTACCAGAGATAAATTAACAAGAAGAAAGAAATAATGGAGTTACCTTTCTATTATCCTGCTTTAGAGATTATAACATGTAACTCTTCAATCTTTCCTTTCTTGTTTCTTTGTCATAGAATATTTTATTATTATGTTTTTTTATCTAAAAAACTGGGGTGATTTCTATACAAGAAAAGAGTTTTCCCTTAATCATAGCAAATATACTTTTGGTGACTTTAAGGTAATATATGTGATACACTTTAAATATGGGCTGCCTGATGCCTTAAGTAACAGCCTGCAGATCTCTAGTCAATTTTGTTTAATAGAACTTTTTGAAGTGAATAGATTTCTAACATATTTATGGTTTATATGTTTATAAATTTTAACAGTTGAGCTATGAATCCCTGGCATTTTTTATGGTCAAATTTCCTGCAAAGCTTAACTATATTGCAAATGGTGCTTTAATTACATGTAAGTGCAGTAGGAACAGAAGTCAGGTGAGACATGCTCAGGATCTGAGTGCCCTAACAGGAACATTTATCCAAAGTCTGAATTTATACATTATGAACACTCTTTCTCCCAAAGTCAAGAATTCTACCAGGTTCAAGATAAGCTGCCTAAAGACTGGACTGTATTTTTTATACTATTCTATTGTGTGCTTAGATTAAACAAATAAGGTATTTATAAAATTATCACCTTTATCTTCTGGTATCAGATCCAATGGCTATCACACTAGCCAGATTTTTCACAATATTTAGAGACTAAGGTGGGAATAAATTGGTATTTTGTTTAGTTGCTTGGTTGGCTAAAGGTAGCCCCTCTTTTAAGATGTATAATTTACATTAAAAACTCTTTGTTCACAGGCTTTCATGTTTTCTTACCCTCTAGATTTTTTTAAGTAGAAAAGTTAAAGGTATTTTTATGACAAAACCAGTATTCAGAAGATCCATTTTTTCCTAGTTGAGAAGTTCAAGAAAAAAGTGCTCTTTTCCCTTTCACTCAATTATTTGCATCTATTTAAAAAATACATTCCAAACATGCACGAAATAAATTGATGCTAATATATTAAGCCTGCTATTTGATTTTTTAAAAATGAGATTTTTAAGGTATATTTTAAGCCCATATACTTAATTTTCTTTCTCAGTTGTTTTTAATGCTGCATAATGCTGATAGACCAAATATAATATTAAGTAAAATGAAGTTTTTATGGTGTTAATTTTTTTCCTGAAGTTCTGGAGAAAATGTTTCTTTTTCTTGCACTTCTTTGTAACTCTAATAGCTTTTCCTTTGCCAGCTCTGGCAATTACTTTAATAAACTTGGTTCTCACCTTCAGATTACAAATATCTAATAGATACTTAAGCAATGATTATTAACAGATTAATATTTAATTTGATATTGAAAACTTTTAAAACTTATCCTTTATTCATTTGTAAATTTTGAACTGCTAACTTGTCTTCTCAGTGTCCTTACGTTTTTTTTCAATTTGATAAGCTTTGTAGTAAATATATTAAGAAATAAAAACATGTCAAATTGCTTAATTTAGGTTATTCATATTAGTTGGTGAGGTTTATTTGTTCTTAGGAATGTTTTGTGATTG